AATTTAACTGTTAATTTTTTCGGACAGTACTTATACACTTTAAAAATAATGTTCAACAAGATCAGACGCTTTGAATCATTGACACAACATTGGCTCCTCCAACTCTACCTACTCTATTTAGTTACGCCTCCTTGTCCATGTTTTTCCCACTACTGCCTTTATTTTGTCTTCCCATCCTATAACGTCTCTGCCTCCCTTTTTTTTCCTGTTTCTTGGATACCAGAATATGATGTTTTTGTTCCACTTCCCAGCGCCCCTTACTGAATGCCCTGTCCATTGTCACTTTCCGTATCCTGTTTTTTATTATTATTTGTTTGTTCTTTCCTTTCACGGGACCACAGGGTCCCGGACCTTTGGAAGGCGTACGAGGAGCCGAAGCCAACTCGCAGAGGCCCGTTGAACAATTTTAATCTAAATGTGATGGGACATCAGCCGGCAATTATCCCTGTATGCACTATATAAGTGCACCCAAGGACAATCCCCGGTTGATGCAAGACTATTGTGAAATGTGGTAAAAATTGATAGGGTTATGAATATGGGTTGCTATAGACTGGTGGATATGATAACTATGGAAATACTATGGCCCCTGCCCCTGACCAATATTGATACATACGGATAAACAGGCAGGGGGTGACTGGCAAACTCAATTAATGGGCCCCCGGAAACGGCCGCTAGCATGTAGCGACACGGAGGCAACATACGTTGAGCTGCTTGGGGAAGGAGAGGCATCCCACGGCTATCAGAGCAATCCCGGAAGTACGGTCAAGACCCCTACCAGCACCTTACTGAGCTACATCCTTCCCCCGAGTCTCCTTCAACTCCTACTCTTGCGAATCTCCACTCAAGCCAGCCAATTAAGGCAAGAATGAGGTAGGAGGGCTTGTTCTTCATCAGTGTTCACTCCAGCTCGTCACGAGGACTAACCGGAGAGAGAAGAACAAGACACCTCCCGGGAGTCAGGTCCGTGGGGTCGCCACTGCCCAACAGCTCGCCACAAGCTGCCTTATTATTATTATTATTATAATTTTCTCATCCGTTAACAAAATTTTTCTGTGACCTCCCTTTGCCTACCGCTTCAGTAGTTGTTTAGATTTTATCACCCTATTCTGTTTTAAATTATCATTAAAAAAATGTCCAGTGCGTTTCTTACAGGCTGCAAGTCCTAAGTCGTCTTTTAAAATACGCGACATGGTTCTAGGTGCTATCTTCATCTCCCGATATAAAATCTTTTGCTTTCGGGCAGGATTTCTTCGAATTCTTTCCCTTACTGCTTTGACTACCTTTTCGCACGAACACTACGTGGACGGCCAGATCTTTTTCTGTCACAAACAGAGGTCTCATTGTACCTATTAATAGCCCGGTACACAAACATTTGACTAATGCCAAGCGTGTGGAGAGTTTTAAAAATTGCATTTGGCTCCATACCCACATGCTGTGTAATGCAATCACAGCGATTCGGTTCTCTTTATCACCCCACTGCATTTTAATATCGCAAAATATTGAACAATTTATTGGCGCCATAAAACAATAAGAAAACACAATGAAAAATTATATAAAAATGACAGATTCCAAATTCAAATATTTTGTTTATTTTTAATTGTAACAGTATTTATGGCCAGACTATGTTATATATTTTTAAAACGGCTAGTCGTTAATGTTGGTACTCTCAGTCATTTCTGTTATCTGTTGCAATTTCTTTGCTCAATTTTCCATGTGTTCTTATAGGTTTTACTCGCTTTGCTTAATTTAACTTATTAGTAATGACCTTTTAATAATTTCTTTTTCTGATTTATTGCCCTTAGTGTTAGTCAAAGTTCCTGAATGCAATATTCTCTTTTGTTTACTAACTAGTTATAAGTGTCACGTGATAGGATAAGAAATTGTATTACCTGTGTGAATATGTAACATTTTAATACTGTAACATAATGTAATATTAAGTAAAATATTACATTAATGTAAAGTTTGGCTTAATATGTGATATTAAGCCAAACTTTAGATTTTGATTGTAAATATAAATGTAACAAGTATGACTGTGATATTAAGAATGTTACAAGGTATTTTCCTAGTTGTAAGTAGTTTTAAGAAACGATTGTGCAGACTCAAACTGTTTTATTAATAAAATAATGCTGAATTTATAAATCTGTTGTTTTTTCAATCTTTTCCTGACAAAATGAACACAAAAGTTCATTTATTATACCAAGTATAATAATACATATTTTATAGTTGATTCAAGTATACAGATGAATCATTTAATAGCCTGCATGACATGACAATATCCTTCTATAATAACTGCTTTGAAACTACTGAAAAAGCGAACTTTCTTACGCTGAAGTAGAAAAGAGACGCCGATTTCAATTACAGTTTTTTCTAACAACTGTAGCGAAGACTACAGGAAAGTTATACAGTTGTTCATAGCTTCAAAGTCTATGTTCCAATGCTTATTTTGACGCTTTAGAAATTTATGGTGGCAATTTATGTGCTGATTTATTTAGTCATAATCGGCCTTATTACAAAACAAGGCTTCTCTTTAGTCGAAGTTTAAGCCTTTGACTGCCGACAGAAAACTGTTGAAGGCAAATCCTCCGGTAACGGAGGTCACCGGTGACCCCAATGCTGTTTAACGCTATTGAGCGTTTTTGTATTTCCAATTGAAGGTAAGTGAGAATAAGATTCGAAATTCAAAACCTGATCTAATGATTTAAACTTAGACTAAAGATAAATCTTGTTTTGTACCAGATTTAGTTTAAGGCTTACACGCATATGGATCTAAAGAAGGATGAAAAAATAAAACAATACGTTTAAAAAACCTGCTTTGTACAGCTGTATATAGTTTGAATGGGTCTCTCTCTATTACACACTGATGCGATCTTTAATTAAATTATACTACTCTATTCTTAGGTATTAAATAAAGGCACATAAATAAAAGAAAGAAAAAAAACTTAGTCTTTAAATGCACGTTTCATTAATATGCAGTGTTGTACGAGCTACGCGGTAACTGGGTGTAGCATACCGTAGCACTGTGTAGCACCGTACTACGGCGTAGTACGTCGTAGCATAACAGCCGTTCGGCGTAGTACTTTCTTAACAGTTGACGCAGAAGTTCAGTATGTAGTGTTACGATAATGATCATCAATAAAACTATATTTTCAGCGCTTGCTCCGCAGCCACGGCTGATCATAAATTCTATTGGTCTATCCCTATCTGTGATAGTCTCAGGAGTATGCGGGTCTGGTTCTGGTCGGGTGGCAAGCTATCCTTGCTTTCCGGACAGTACAGGACAATTCTACTACTTCAGAAAAAGGAGGCGGCTTGCCAGTTCCTCTCATTTCGCCATAACCTCGACTTAAGCCGGACCCAAGAGGTCGCCGTCGTAGATCGTGTCTGATGTAGCCCTATTATTAATATCATTTTACCATGGGAAAGCCATTATTTAGCACTATTGAGCTGGCTCGACTCGACTAATACCTCGGCCATACAGAGAAATTGACGTCAAGCTGCGCCTTTGTTGTGCTTCGCCAAGTGAGTGAGTGTACCGGAGGCCCCGGTACGGTTCTCCCGCCCAGGAGCGGCAGGGAGTGTCAGACTCTTACTGACATAATTTGCCACCGTTCCTTCTCCTGCTCTGGGCCGAGGTCGCGGTGCCTCGTTGCGCTTAGCTCGCAACCCCGGCTGTGGTGCTGTGGTAAAAATGGTATAATATTACAGCGCTTTGAAGTTTGACCAATTTTCGAAAAGTCACACTACCCAGACAACGTAGCAGTGGGAATTAGTAGTCTATTGCGGTGTTAAGGAAAAATAAAATATTTTTAGTAGCTACATTTGGCTTTTGCTATTTACGGTTTGAATGGAGATTTCAAATGAAGAAATAAAAAAATTTATTGCAAACGTGCACAGTAAAAAAATATCTAGAAAAGAGATTCATCTTTTTTGTGAAATAAAAGACAGCATTTTATATTACATTTAATCTTTATTGTCACAAACAATAAAATATTTTGTAACTATAAATTAATTCACACAACTTATACAACATTTTTTACACAATTTAAAAACCTTTCAATACCTATACATAATTCATATTTCCATTTTGTACATTTTTCTCACACAGACTATAAATATTTATTAGACAGTTTGTGAGTCTTCCATACATAAGTACTTACACTATATACAGAATTTAAAAAGAATCTTACACAATAAAAATCAAGCCAACTAGTCTTTGAGATATGAATATTGGTAAAACTGTATTTATAAACAAACATTTTACATCAATACATAATATAAAACAAAGTCGCTTTCTCTGTCCTTATATCCCTATGTATGCTTATATATTTTAAACTACGCAACAGATTTTGATGCGGTTTTTTAAATAGATAAAGTGATTCAAAAGGAAGATTTATACGTATAAAACATATCTGTGCGAAGCCGGGGCGGGTCGCTAGTATTATATTTACAGAGTTGGGCCAATGTTGACTGGTTGGCGCGGTGCCTGATGAGCTGGTTTAACACATTCAGTGAACGCAATTGGGTAGTTTCCTAGGTCAAAAATAAATTAAATCAACGTTCCAATACAATAAAATATTAAATTATAAATATACTTTTATTCATCGATCGATCGATACACTAAATTTCAGATATGTTTTAGCAAATTTTTAAGAAATAGTAACCTATTTGACGCAAAAAAACTATGACGTGACTCAGTATTTCATACATAGAAAAGTATCGTTTTTGACATTTGGATAAAAGTATTGAATTTGACTAGTTGGAAACTACCGTATTGTGAACGACAACAAAGTCCACAACAAAGGAGTTACTACAAGTGCGTTGACGGCCTCTGGTAGGTCATTAGGTATTTAAGGATAGAGGATTTAACAATTGAGAATGGGGAAGGGAATTGGGCCTCCAAAAACAAAACACAACGTAACTATTACTTCACGCTGGTTTTCTTTGAGGCCGTGGCATCACTCCGGTCGTTCCGAACCATTCTCTCCCGGTTTTCTGTGTGGCCATGGTATGGCTCCGGTCGAGCCGACCCGTTCGTGCCAAAGCATGGCTCTCCCACACTTACACAGCTCTCCAACTAAGTATTATTCGTGTATGGTCTATAACTATCTACATCCACGCTTGCCGCCGTAGCTGCCTATCAACCGCGCGCAGACGCTCAAGCTTATAACACCGCTTGGGTCAGATATGCTCCATCTCTAGCGACTGAGAACTGTCTTCGTATGTCTGAAAAAAATCGAATACAAAAGTGTGAAATATTTCAAAAACTCTACCCTTAAAGTGCTAAGTAACATATATGGATGAGGACTGTAGAAGACGACGATTATTGACAAATAAAAGTGCTTTTTGTAGCCTACTAATTAGCCCGCTGCTAGACAAATAGAGATCGTAGCGTGATGTTTTTATAGCATATAGTCATCCTTGATAAATGGACTAATACACACAACAATAACAAAAACAAGCCAGTAATTTCGAATATTAGCGCGTTCAAACAAATTCTACAGCTTTATAATATTAACATAGTATCGTACATTTATATATGTATAAATCAGCGCTGCGACACTGTCTCGCATAGTGTCGACATTCACATTTAAAACTAGCTTTTGCCCGCGACTTCATTCGCGTGGAATTGTATCTTTCTGCAGATTTTTGATATAAAAACTATCCTATGTCATTTTTCGAGTTCTAAACTATGTTTGTAAGTACCAAATTTCACAGAAATCGGTTCAGTAGTTTAGGCTTGAAGAAAAGACAGACAGACATAGTTAATTTCGCATTTATAATATTAGTTTGGATTTTGGATAGCAGGATAGTTAAATCTGTTACCCAGTCGTTGGCGTGGGCGTGGGCAGCCTGCAGTTCGAGTATATCATTCTGTATGTCGACGCTGAGCTCCTGTATGGGCACGGGCGCCGTCCGCCATGGCACGTCGCGGTGCTTGTTCACGCGGTTACGCCGCTTGTGCTCTCTTAGGTGTACCTTTAATATAAATACATTAGTTATAAACCCGGCTTTGATCGGTAGAAATGTGACTGATATTAAATATCTTGGTTTGAGACGGAAACATCATCAACACCACAAATATGGTCTACAATTGAATTATCTACGATACATCGCTGTTTTACTATGACGTGTGCAATCCAAACAAAGTAAATTATTATTTATTTATTTATTTTTACAATTCTTGCACAACGTACAATGGCGGCCTTGGGCGTTCTCTGCCAGTCTACCTATGGGTGGTGGAGAAATAGGAGCGGTAAGTGCATCACTGTTGGATAAGAAAAAGAAAAAAAAACACATGCTACAAAATTCTCATACATTATTATATTATGACATTTGAACGACAACTTCTTCTTTTATGATATTGGTTGTTATCGCAAACGGCCAATCTTGGGTTTATAGAAAAAACGAAACGTCAACGACTGAAAAAAAGTATTTAAACTTATCTATGAGCTAGGAAACATTTATTTATTACCCAAGATGGCGAATGCGGTTTTTTTATCAGTGCCATTATAATACGGTAGTTTCCAACTAGTCAAATTCAATACTTTTATCCCAATATCAAAAACGATACTTTTCTATGAAATTTGTATAAAATAAAATGACGTCGATAGTATTTTTGCCTCAAATAGCTTGCCTATTTCTTAATAATTGTCTAAAAAATATCTAAAACTTAGTGTATCGATCGATCGATGAATAAAAGTATAGTTATTTTTCAATATTTTATTGTATTGAAAGATCGAATTAATTTAGCTTTTTGAGCTAAGAAACTACTAACTTGACTAGTTGGAAACTACCAAATAGATTATTGTTTAAAAAAGCAGTAATGAATGTAATAGTAAAGGATGGGTTACCTTCTTGACGTGGGAGTTGACCATGGAGCGGAGATGGAAGAGCGCGGGACAGAGCGGACAGCGCCGCGTGGGGGCCGTGTGGGCACACAGCGCGTGCTGGTTGCGGCGGTTCAGGGACACGAACCTACGACCGCACTCCTGGAGGGGGTACAGTGCACTTATACAGGCTGTCCGGTAAAGAATGGATAACCTTGCAATACCTTTAAGTATAGCTTATGGCCATTAAAAAAATATACAAAAGAAAAACGAAAAACAAATATTTTATAAAAAACTAGCTGTTACCCGCGGCGTCGCTCCCGTCATTTGACTACCTACCCTACTCTACCTACCCTACTCTACCTTCCCTACTCTACCTACCCTACTCTACCTACCCCACTGTACCTACCCTACACTACCTACTCTATCCTATCCTATCCTATGTTCTTCTCCCAGTTCTTAACTACCTCCCTAGACTCCCTACGAATTTTCAGCTAAATCGGTTGAGCCGTTCTTGAGTTATAAGTGAAGTAACTAACACGACTTTCTTTTATATATATAGACTTGCAAATTAGTTTATTATGGACAAATCGTGCAAAATTTATTTTTAAAGCAATGTTTAATCATCGTGGTTATGCAGTAATGTAATGAACGTAAATGTTAAAGGATCATTTTGTATTACCTCTAGCCCCAGTTCTTTTACTTCAAGACATAATAATTTAGGTACTACCTAACCTATGATACTTTTCTTTTCGTTGTTTTTTCTGAATGGCCAAATCATATACTAAAAGGCATTTCAAGGTTATCCATTCTTTACCGGACATCCAGTATTAACTAGCGGTCGATGGATGTAAATTTTACACTTTGACTGCACGATAGGAGCGGTGGCTGCCGTACAACGTGTCGCGATTCCCGCACGGAACAACACTTTTTGTGATCCACAAATTGTTGTTTCGGATCTGAGTGTGATGTGCATGTGAAATTGAATGTTTGTTCATGCACCCGACACAGGAAAAAATCCCAGAGTGGGACAACGTTTAACAAAAAACAAAAGCAAGTAAAAACAATTTACCTACAAGTTTAATTTTTTTAATTTTCTCTACGTAGAAACCTTTTCTGGACTTCCACGAATAATTCAAGACCAAAATTAGCTAAATCGGTAAGGCATGTTAAGTTATAAAATTACAACGAAAAGTGGCATTGATTTTTAGATGGAGGGTGTCCCGTAAAGAATGAATAACCTTGAAATGCCTTTTAGTATATCTTATGGCGTATCAAAAATATGAAAAAAAATTCGTAAGTAGGTAGTACTCAACGTAGAAGAACTGGTGCTAGAGAAAATAGTGAATGATCCTGTGAAATTCGCGTGTGTTACATTACTGCATACCCAGGGTGTTTAAATATTGTTAAAAAATAAATTAAGCACAATTAAAAAAAACAATTAACCGATATTTTTATAAAAACCTGGAAATTTCTTTTTATTACTTTATTTTTGTTGTTTTTTTTTCGAAGTGGTCCTTTAGATATACTAAAAGTCATTTTAAGGTTATCCATTCTTTACCGGACACCCTGTATATAAATGTACCATCATCATCATCAGCCCACAAGTTACCTAACATTAATCACCATGCTTGCTCAAGAAGGATTGGCGATTTCAAACTTATAATTAGATTTTAATAAATCCTCCGTATAGACTTCCTAATTAACTAGTGCCTTATTTGACAATACCAGCTATACGTAGAAAAAAGTTGACATTTGTCAATTTTTTTTTTTTAGTCGTCATGTGATCAGACGGATTACCTGATGGTAAGCAATCGGCACAAATCATGGACACTCGCAATACCAGAGTTACGAGTCCGTTACCGGCTTATAGGGGTTTCGAAAACTGGGGGGAAGACACACAACGCTATGTCAATATTAAGGGTGCCAACTGAAAACCAGTGTCGGGTTCTTATTGAGCCCAACTTATACTGAAATGGCAACCCTTTTGGCATGGGTATGCTGTTATGTCAAAATTTTTAGTTGTTTAAGCACTTTTTTTTTAAATATTATTTTACATTTTAAGAAATATTTTAGTTCCTAAACTCAACATTGTTGTATTAGTTTGTTGTTTATTTTTTTTTTATATTTTTGGTACCTTTTTTTCTATTGTTGTATTGTAATTATTTCTTATTATTGTACATAACTTTGGAATATTTTTTTTTCTTATTGTTCATGCCAAATAAATTATTTTTCTTTCTTTCTTTCTTTCTTATTACCTTGCAGGGGTAAGGCCTCTCGTTGTTATGTAGCCTCTGATGCCACAGCAACGCTCGCTCGTCCACGAAGTGTCGCCCACACGTCGAACACATGCATCGGGCCTTGCCAGCCTTCTCACTCGGATTGACTTTGTCTTTAGTTTGAGCGCTATCCCTGCAACAATATATATATTTAAAGATTTCTTCATCATCATCATCAGCCTATAATAATTAATTTTGAAGGAATAATTGAATATGATGGAATAGGAAGGTTTATATGTATAATAACATCTATTAAATAGTGAAGTAGCTTCACTAAGAGGACTGACCGATAGACTGACACTATATCTTCAAAATTTTGTTTGACGTTCAAAAGTGCCTGTAAGTGTCTAATTGGAATAAATGATTTTTGACTTGACTTAAAGAAATTTAGTAGCAGCATTGCACGCGTGCGAAGTCGGGGCAAGTCGCTTGTATATGATTAAACTAATATTATAAAGAGGTAAAATTTTTAAGTTTGTATAGGGGGTAATCTTTGGAACCGCTGGTCGGATTGCCAAAATCTTTCACTGATAGATAGCTTCAATGTTCCTGATTGCTATAGGCTATAAAACATCACGCTATGATAAAATGGAGCTGAGCAGCAGGTGAAACCGCGCGAGAATAGCTAGTTATTACATAAAAAACTTACTTAAAACTCCCAATTTCCATATTCTTTTCATGTTTCTTGATATGACTGTCGAAGCTCATCTCTCCCTTGTACATTCGGCCGCAGTAATAGCAGGTGAACTTCTTGTAATGTACGCTGTCATAATGCTGTCTTAGACTCTCCTCATCGAACATTATCTTCCCACATTTCTCACAAATGTGCGCGTTTTCCGTCTGCAAAGCGTTCTGAAGTAATCAATTTGTTATTTTTTAATTTATTTTGAACAAATAATAGATAGTTTATTTATTTATTTTATTTTTAGAAAAAACGTTGCCCCAGTCTAGGTCTTACTACTTTGTCGTGGGTGCACTTACAAACATACAATTTCACATACACATCACGCCTAGACTCGGAACAACAATTTGTAGATCACACAAAGAGTTGTTCCGTGCGGGAATAGAACCCGCGACACATTGCGCTGCAGCCAGTTGCCCAGCCACCGCGCCAAAAAGATAATTAGACAAAACATCTATCGCATTACTGTTTCCAAGTAAACATAGTCTTGTCTATGTTCACAAGGACCTTGCAAGTAAAAACATTTTTTTTTTCTTTTTTACTTGTGTTTAAATCAATGCACAATCCTTCTCCGTATGAGAAGAGGCCTTTATTCATTAGTATAAGCAAATGATGAAGACATAATAATAGGTCTACGAAACGGTACGGTACGGTACCTATGAAATTACCATGAAAAAATTTAAACGAATTTTTGATTTGAAATGTGATGAAAATGTAACACTTATCAATAAACAAATGACTACTTTTGGAAAAAGAATCCCATGTTTTTAAAACAAAATTTTTAATTAGCCTTAGCCTAACAAAAACTATTTTGATTTGAAATGGCCAGTACTGCAGAACGGCAATTTCATAGGTAAAGACCTATTATGATGATTATTATTATTATATTTCAAGCTAAATTTCAGTAACCAACCTCAGTGATATTTTTCATCCGTTCATGCCATTTAAGGTGGTTGATGATGGTGGACCGTTTCTTGAACACAGTGTTACAGACCGCACACTGATGTATATCCGTGTGGGTTTTCATGTGATTGTGGTACTCTTGTTCATTCTCTGTGAACGCTTGACATACCTGGAAGAACAAGATATGAGAATCTGGCCAAACCCATAACAGGCACTTTTGAATGTGAAGCAAAAAAATCAATCAAAAGTTTTAAGTGTGTCTGTCTGTCTGTCTGTCCTCTTTGGAGATAACAGGGTTATTTACATGAGAGAGTGATACTTACGCCTCTTTCGTTTGGTCGCCTAAATGAAAGAGGCGTAAGTATGGTAGGACCGTATATTCACGACTGATTAACTTAGTCGCTATACACATGCATACATCATAATTAATTAATTTTAAGAACGTTGGTTAGCTCGTAATTGGCTAATGTATAAGATCTACTACCTATTATCTAATACATTTAAGAACTTTGTATACATAAGCTGTGAGCCTACCTTTTTTCAATAAATAAATCATAGCTACATACATACATAAGTCACGCGCTCATATTTCCTGTCATACGATGTGTCCCTACACCTCTATTGAAGCTATTCGCTTGTTCGAAAGTGTAGATTTAGATTACGATGGAGAAGAACGAGCAAGAAACTCCATCTTTACTATTTTTCAATATGTTTCACCTTCAGCAAAAGAAATCGACTAAGGAGGCGGGATGACTAACACAAGTTGCAGAAACAACATAGGGTAGAGAGGACCTACAAAGGCCAAGGAGGCCTTCGCCACATGGCAAATGGACAATAAAAAATGGGATAAAAGAACTTTGAACTATCTATGAATTTTAATTTTGCTGTTGAAGCAATAACCAAATAAAGGCAAATAATAGTACAGAGCAGTTTGTATGGGAAAACAAAATTGTCGTTTTTTTATGTAATAAGTCGGCCAATGAGCAGACGGATTACCTAATGGTAAGCAATCAGCACCGCCCATGGACACCCGCAACGGAGGAGTCACGAGTGCCGACCTTTTAGGGATTACGGATTTGGAGATTTAGGGATTGGGGATTGGGGAAGGGTCCGGGGAGGGGAAGGTTTGGCCTCCGGTAACCTCACTCACACGGCGAAACACAAAGCTTTTGTCAGTATTTGGCTTTTTTATGCATTAGGTCGGCAAACGAGCATACGGTTTACCTGATGGTAAGGAATCAGCGCCGCCCATGGATACCCGCAACATCAAACGAGTTGTTGTCGGGTGCGTTGCCGGCCTTTTAGGGATAAAGGTTTAGAATATTGAAGGATTAGGAAGGGATGAAGGAAGGGGAGGGATTGGGCCACTTATTTTATACCTCCAAGCTTCGTGCTCGCTACTTCGTCTGCAAAACGTAGTAAATAATACACCTTACCCTATTGAATCATCCTATCTATAAAAAAACACATCAAAATATGTGATGTGGTTTTAAAGATCTAAGCTTACATACAAAACAACAGGTAATGGTTTTGTTGTATACTATGTAGAGATATCATATTTTACTATATACCACATACCTTACAAACAAACAGGGTAACATTATGATCCATCATCATATGCTGCTTCAGTTTAGTTATGAAACGATACTTCACCGGGCACCGACTGCACATTTTAAAAGACATCGGACCTCTTTTCCTTCCCTTTTTCAACCGTTCCTCTTTCTTAACTGTGACTATGGAGGCTTTAAACTTTTTTCTATACTTTTCCCCTTCAGATTCTTCAAGCTCTATAAGACTACCATCAGGCTGTGCTCGGTAAAATGCAGGCTCTCCGTTATCTTGTATAATAACGACTACTTTATCATTATCATTGTCATCTGTTTCCTCACTTTTCGTTATTTCTTGTTTAACGAAGGTATTTTCAAATAATTCAGTTTCTTTGCCAATCGACTGTAGATTGTAATCGTAAACCGGTGTTACGGTTGCAATCTCAGGCAGGGATATGCAAAGTGTGTTGTTAACCATTTCTTCGGGCAATTGGATTTGTTCCATGTTTTCAAGCAGTTCATTGGTGTAGAACCCTAATATTTCCTGGCTCCGTTTAGATAGCAGGTAGAACTTGTATGCCATGGATGCCATCATGAAACAATTGATACAAATGTTGTAGGTATCTGTATCTGAGAGCTGAAATTTAAACATAATTTGATTATAATAATTTTAGTATTATTTGTGTTTCAAAATTTTAATTTTGGTACTTAGAGACATTGGGGATTCATGAACCAAATATAATAAACTGAGACTATAAATATAATAAACCATATAACATAATATTATATGTAAATACATTTGTTTTTTATTTGTAATTTAGAACCTTAACCATACCTGAGAAGGATACTTCTCATTATTATTGGCAGTATCCATTATGCGGGCTTCTAATAGAAAACTATATGAAAGAATGTAGTCTGTGAAGAATCCAAGGTCTATTATCTTTTCTAGTGTGCTTATTTGAAAATTAAACACTTAAAGCTTAAACTTAAAGATAGTTTCATTATACACAAAATATAATACTTTTGAGGAACCAAAATTCACTGCTTTTCTCTACATTTCATACATAAAAGAAATTAAATTAACTCACTGTAATATCGCACATAGTCTGCAAGACATCAGCAATACAATATTCCTTGTCGTATTTACAAACTTTTGTAAATATATTCTCGGATTGGTCACGAAGTGGTTCCAAGCAAATAATACACAAATTCTCGCTCAGCGTTCCATTCGAAAGGTGTTTCAATACCAATTTTAAATCCAAGGTATTTGCCATGTTTTCCTCCGACCATCACACCAAGTCCTGATAAGAAAATATTGTAAACAGCACATTTTCTAAACAAATATCTGCAAAAAGGCACAAGAAATTCAGAATTTACCACCAAATGAATTATAGATGCGTTCCGTGAAATAAATACGAGAGTTGCTTCAGTAAGCGGCCCGTTCAATTTTGGTTGACGTTTGACGCCATTTTTATAGAAAATAAATTCTCATTTTTTAGTCGATTCTAGCAATACTTGCGAAGATACATTCCATACCATTAACTATTGTATTGAATTATAATTATTCCATGTGATTGATTTGATTTGATTTTTATTCCTATATTTAATTCAATTAAAAAATGAGGCATATCAATTATTATTCATTTTATTAATTAATTAAAATCGATTATCTTTTAAATAGGATGTTATAATTAAATATTAACTATTAGTCGATTATTGAAAACACAAAAAAACTACAGATAAAAAATGGAAAACATAAATCTGTCAAAATTAAAGTGCTAAGTGGTATGTTTAGATTATAAAATAATTTGCACATAATTTAAAATTATATCTTATTAAATAATTAACAGTGTTGTGAATGATGTTAGTAAAACCCAGACGTTATTATATATCTTACAATCCAAAGGTGTAACTTGTGTGACGTGCGTACAATTATAATTTTCCGAATAATCTTCGGCTAATTAGTGATTCCTGTATTAAAATTTTGTTGAATAATCAGTCTCTAGATAATGGAGCAATCTTCCGGTCGTGTGTGGGGCCAAGGAAATGTAAAAAGGTCGCGTTGAAAAAGAATTATATTTCAAAAATATTTATTTGATCGATGTTATAATGGAAACGTAAATCTTGAGGCTAAACTGATTGAAATATTCCTACCTAATTCTAAAAGGTAAGTACGACCTTGAAGCTCATATCATATGATATTAATAATAGTTACAGTACAATGAACATGAGTTAGAAACCATCTAAAATCTATAACATTAAAATATACTTGTTTTATTTATTAAGACATTTTGTTTACCAAAAACTATTTAGTTAGATAAAAATTTTGACAGTCTGTGTATTCTCAGCTGTTGCATTTTTATTATTTAGTAACTCATGGGGGTAAATAATGGTAATTTGTTGAATCAAACTACATTTTGACTCATACTTGAAACATAATTATCTTACTTTGTAATTACAACTAGGTATTTTTTAATAACAAATTGTATTTCATTACATATGCATACATTTTAATTGAAAAAAAAGTATAAATGTAAATTTTTCATTCAATGTACATTTATGCCTACATGTATACATAACAAGTCTTATTGAAGACTCACTATAAAATCTGTTGCTAGGCAAAACTGCATTTCTACAGACTTAGGATTAAATCCTTAAATCTTTGCATGTAACTTTTAAACAATTCAAATTATTATTATTAAGTAACATTTTCCATGTTTAACCTGAATAAAAATATTTACATACCATTAAAGTAACAAATATGTTTTTTTATCTTATTCCAGCCACCAAAATGGATACAACAGAATTTCCAATCACCTCTGAGATAACGGATCTCCAATCGGACACCATAATAAAAGAGGAGGAAGAATTAGAGCAAATATTACCAGACAAATTACCGCTTGACATCAAATCCGAAATGCATGTTGACGAAGACATACAAGAACACGTAGACAATCCGTTTACCAACATACAGTTGGAAGTAAAACAAGAAACATTACCCGTATGCATAGAGAAAGATGGTTGCCAAGAGAACGAAGAAGGCGCAATTCCAATGATGCAAGAGTTTGAAGAGAAATGTGAGGAACATTATGTTACCGTACCAAAAACTGAATTGTTTGATGATAAAACTGATTTGTACGAAGAAAAAACTGACATTAAGGAAGAAACTGTCTTAGGAGACGAATCTATAGTGACATATGACTATCCAAATTTTGATGATGTTACGAGTATGGATAGCAATGAAGCGACTGCTTTGAACCAAGTAGAGGCCTGTTTGCAAGACGATATGAATATCAAGTGCGAAGAGGATGAAGATGATGTGAGTAATTTCTGTTTAATATTTATTATATTTTTATAATAACTATCGTGAGACATACTTAATTAACTAAAAATCGCGGGACGTAGTAGGCTGCGCGACGTCGCCGCGTCCGCGCACGTTGCTCATGAGGATGAACCCCTCTGTGGTTCGAAACTAGTAGAGCTTTTCTCAATATAGACACGTAAGTAACCCGCGATTTTTAGTTAATTTATTATATTGTATAACTATGTATAGATAGATTGTATTACCTAGTCAGCTACAGAAACAGAAAGCACATAATACAATAATATGGTATTTGACAACTTTTTTTTATTTACATGTATAGACACACCAACAACTGAAATATTTACAAAAAATATTAAATATAATATAGTGAGGTTACCTTGTTTAAAAAAGTCACATAAGTATGCATAACATTTATAATGGATTTTAATAACTAATTATTTTTATTACATCTCGAACTGGTAATTTATTTTAAAATCTAATTGAAAAAAAAACGATTGAATAATTAACAATAGTTTTATGGAAAAAAACTATTTTTATAAAAAATACTTAGTGCCATCATCATTATTTAGCGTCTGTATTATTAAAATATCAGCTAAAAATCCTAATGAATGAAATACGATTTTAGGATTCATTTCGATACATTTATACAATTTTTTGTAGGTACTAACTAAAATATTGTTTTTAAACAATATTTTATAATAAAAATGCAACTTTTAAAATAATTAATTTACCAAAATTCTGATATCCAATTATCTCTCTCTCCCGAAAAATATGTAGATGGATGTTATTTTTGCATACACTCATAACTACACCAACCAGAATATATTATAACATATCGATCAAATTACGATTTCACCTTGCTTTTTATTCAAAAACGTATGAACAGGAAACTTCGCAAATGCTTCGATTGCTAGTAATTATCCTGCTGTGTATAAGTAAAGTAATGAATAATAATGCTGTCTAAATTTCCATTTATTTATTCCCTGCGTGTATCTATAATCGAAACTTCCTTCGCGGGCAAAAGCTAGTTAAATATAAATCATGTACAATTACACATTCTTCATTCAAGATTATAAGTTTCTCGCTTCTTGTTAATAGAGATTTTGAATATACAACTGCATGTATGATCAGAAAAACACAGCTGGATCTTCTAATACTCTACTCTACTTCTAATAACAATAACAACAACTTAATAATCTTAAAACTAAATTAAGATTTTATGTTTTCTTAACCTTACAGAATGACAAAGAAGAGTACGAAAAGTTGAACATTAAAGAAGAATCAGATCTAACAGTAACAGAAACACATTTGATATCAAACAAAGTTATAAACACTACATCAACTATAACAAACCCACACGATGGTCTCATAGAGTCAAAAACTACAAAGACATTAGTCATGGAGATACTTCCAATGTCACAAACCAGTATGCGATTCTCCAAGATTGGGAATCCAGAAGAAATCCTTCCAACAACTTATGACCATAGTGACAGTTATATGGATTACCAAGATTCATTCCAACTAAATTCCATCACTGGAAATGTCCTCTCATTAGAACAAGAGGCGTACGGTCTTCTCAAAGCCAAAGCGAAGAAGAAAGAGGTCGACGATCTTGTCCACAGTTGCCCAAAATGTCCTAAAACATACCGACAAAAAAGCTATTTGAAAAAGCATTTAGCAGTCCACGATAGTATTGAGAAACGTGCCCAAGGTCACATTAGAAGTCAGATCACAAAGAAAGACAATAAAAATAAGAAGCTAAAAGCAGAACTGGATAGTACAATTGTGAAAAAAGAGGAAAGAAGTAAGAAGGAGGGTTATGAGTGTACTTGCGGCCAAGTGTTCCAAAGAAGGAGTCGGATGGAGACCTGTCTGCGGTCGCATAATCTATTCGACGACACCAACACGTACCCTTGTGTTTCTTGCAACAAACAGTTCAAAGATAAAGAAGAATTATCCCTCCATCGCAAACGACTGCACAGAAAAAGATTCCCTTGTAAATTCTGCCCTACAGACTACAACACAAGGAAAGAACTCTTCAAACATCTCCAAGACCACCAAAAAGTTCAATTGATGGAGTACAAAGTGATTTCTGAAGTCGTTAAAGGGAAACAAAAACTTAAATGCTTCATGTGTCCAAAAAGTTACGTGGAACTGGCAGACTTGAAATCGCACGTCATGGATGATCACAAAGAACCGTACAGTTGTCCAAGATGCAAGCGAACATTCTCGAAAATTATTGACTTTGGCAATCATACTAAAACTTTCCATCCAGAAGTAGAAGGCCAGTCAGTGTTAGATGTTCTAGAAGCCTTTTCGAAATTAGTAAAGGCATGGAAATGCGAGGAATGTGGCCTACAGTTCCATGAAGCCGACAAGTTGGCTGTGCATCAAATAGAAAAGCATAGTCCGGATATGAAAGTGGAGGCTCAATTCCAATGCGCGGACTGTCGAAGAGTTTTCGTCAGTCAGAAAGGTTTAACATCACATCGACGGATACATCACAGTACAGAGAGTGTGGAAGAAACAGAACCAGTAGAAACGGGCGTAATGTGTTTAGAATGTCGGAAGATTTGTAAAGACATGAATGCTTTGCTCTCCCACATGCGTTTCCACTCTCCAGAAAGGAAATATCCTTGTAAATTCTGCGATTTTCGCTTCGCCACCCCCGAAAAGCGGAAAGCGCACGCCGAAATTCATACAGGCGATATGAAATACGTCTGTTTTATCTGCGAATACCAGTGTAGTTCGGAAAATCGACTAAAACATCACAAATTATCGCCTAAACACATTAACATGAAGGAGTTCTTGCTGACTGGGAAGCCGTTACCACAAGAAGCGGAGTCGTCTAAACAGGATAAAGTGAAAGAGACTTTAAAGAAGAAAGAGTGGGGGATTAAAGAGAAGAAGAAAAGAGAGAGAGTGAAAAGTGAGTCGTCGGAGTGTAATGAAGTGGCTTGTGATATTTGTGGGGACTTGTTCCCGAGTGAAAGTGAAATGTTAGAACATAAACAGACGCACCCATTCATCGAGTTCCCAAATGAAGACAAACCAAGTAGGATATTCTTTAAGTAAAATTATTCTTGCCTAACTAAACTGTTATAGTGATGTTGCTATAGTTTTTCTTTTGTAAATATTAGTAGAAAAAAATGTGAACCTCCTACCTTTTTAAAGTCACAAAGCACTGCCGTACAAATTAGAAAAATATACTTATTTTTGTACGTCTTCCAATGTTGATGCGTCCTCGATAACAGATGGCGCTACTGATGCGTTATGTCTTATAGGCCTAATAAACTTTACTGGAAGTTTACTTATTAAAAGTATTATTTTTATCTTTACGCCATTTTAGCGCCTATGGTATGAAAAATTCACAACAATTACAAAATTTTATAGAAATATAATTAATAAAAGATACTTTTTGTACAGAAATTCGAGATTGAGAGAAATGGATAAGTATTTTAGTAAAGAAATAATATATTTGTCTCTTTCTTACTTATACATAAAGTTATAAGGGCGAGGGAGACTGGTGTATAAAAGGTGAAAGTGCAATATATGTATAGATGCCAGCAGGTCAACTTACTCCAATGTGTCACTTCTTCAATCGCTGTTTAACGTTATTCATTTGTAATAAGGTCGAAAACCTATTTAAGATATTGATACATTGAAGTGATGTATATACGTATATTTATCTCAGACCAAAATATTATTAGCGATATCACTATAACAAGAATGAAATCACTGGTTTTTGAAAATTTTGGTTACAATTGATTCTGTCAGGTGTACTAACCAGCCCTAGTTGCTTAATGCCGCACTTATAGACATTTGATGATCACATAAACTATTACTTAGTAAAAATTTTTTGCGAAAACAATTACTAAGGACCGAGTCTTAAATTAATCTCGCCTGTTGTGATGGTCCGCAAGTTAAGGTGCTAGCGTCTCATGCATGAAAGTATGGATTCGGAACCAAGTACTAACGTAACTTGTTTCGAGTTATATGTACGTTCCACGTACATGTGGTGACCAAAAAACATCGTAAGGAAACCTGGTCTTATAATTTCTAATTAATTTAAAATAAGTACGAAACCACCAATGTGTTTTAAGCAAATGTGGTGATAAATTCTTAAACCTTCTCCATGTGAGAACAGGTCGTTGGTCTTCAGACTTAATAGTCTGAAGACTATATAGCACTAATGTGCTCACTACACTGCTGAGCAAAGGCCTCTTCTCTCACAAAGAAGGTTAGAACATAAATCGCCACGCTTACTCAAGGATTGGCGATTTCAAACTTGTAATTGGAAATTACAAGTCAAGCTTTCCTAACGATGTTTTCCCTCGCCGTTTGTAAATGGTGTCTAAATAAACTTAGAAAGTACATAAGTCGGAAAAAGTCGGTACTTATCAGGTTTAAAACTCGTGCCTTCATGATTAGAATCTCTCAAACTTACAATATTCATAACAAGCCTAACTACAGGATTCAAGAAAGAAGGTTTAGACCAGATCTATTTTACATCACAATAAAGATTGGAAATAAAAAGAAAACTGTAATTCTAAAATTAAGTTTGTCGGCAAAAAATATTGACCAAACTTTTCAAAAGCCAGTAGATATAATTTTTATTACTTAAGTATACATTATATTATTATATTGGCTTTGATAGTAAGGTTTTTGTTAAGCATTTACGTTGGCGGGGTATATACAGTGCTCTGTCGGCCGTGTTAAAAGCTAGTCTATTTATATAGTTTTTTCTTGTAAATTAATATTTAGGATGTCGTTTTGAGCGAGAAGAGATAATTAAATTAATAAATTATGTAATTAATTTCATATTGAAATTTTTGGTGGAAAATTCGATCCAACTCATCGCCATAAGCCAAAATCTACAGTGGCGCTACAGAAGCGGTACTACATTGAGGTTTTTCGAGTTTTCACGAGATGGCGTTATTGAGATGTTAGTTCCTATTAGTTTAATCCAGCTAACTGTCACAATTCATCTGGTGACGGCATTGGACCCAAAATTGGAAAATGACTTATTTTTTATGAAATAATTCTAATTGGAAATAAAAATTCCAAGTGCATCAAGAAATGTCTCAAAGATGCCTAAGAGACAGTTACCTTTTTAATATCGTGCTTAATCATCTTTACTCACTCAAAACACATTCTTATTACAAGCGATTAAGGTTGTTTTCGATTGTCGAGCAAGTTTAATTATTGGTGATAGCTATTATTTAAATACTTTGCACTGATTATTTATATTATAAAGGGGATTTCTCTTCCTATCGTCCGGCAAAATAGAGGTTTCTGACAAGCAGTAATGCACCATAAAACGTTAGTTTAAGGGTTGAAATTAATCCAGCAGTGGCTTGGGACCCCAAATATTGTTTCCGTGTATTGGATTTTCCAAGTTACGTGCCATGTTTTAAGGTGTATTATTGATTGTATCATCTTTTTTATGCCAAGCCAGTGAAGGTTATATGAATGCAAATTAAGACAGATTCTTATTATTAATTTAAGGTGATTATTACAACACTTATTATTATAATTATATTGTTGAGAGTAGTTGCAGGATTTCCTATACATTGTTACAACTTTTTCATTTTTACTATTTTTTTATTTGTTTTACTAATGTTGTTTAAGTAGATGGCGCTGGCGTAGCTTTAAGCCTACCTCGCATTTTACCTTGGTTTTTGATCTTATTCTACATCAGCGCCATCTAAAGGCGACGAATATTAGCCAATTGGATATTTTTTCACTTTTCCTATTGTTGATTAGGTTTTTAAACACGTTAATTGCCTCGTAAGTCACCAATGACTTAATATAGCGGATTTGTCTTCAACAGAGTTCTGTAGGCAATCAAACGCTTAAAAACAATTATTCACTTTTTGGATTTTCGTTTTGTTATTGTACTTACATGTATGGAAAGTATTTTGTTTAATTTTCTTCTATAAGATATTTTTTAGTTGGTTTTTTTTCTACTTACGTATTTACCTTTTTGGAAGTTTGGAGTATTATTTGTTTGAAGCTGTGCTGTCAATCGTAATTAACTAATTCGCGGCTATAAAGAGAATTTTCCTTGTTGCAGAGAAAGCAATAGGATTTGGTTTTGTAATGGCTTATAATGGAGGTCAGAACTGTCGAATGTCTGCATCAAATATTGAATAAATGTCATATAAATAATTTGTCGTGTAAAAAATGAAGCAGTTTTATTAGGAAAAATATTTCGTAATAAAAATAAGATACCATTTATTTTTCTCTCTTATGCTTTCTCTGCAATGAGTATACAAGTAATATAGGTTGTTATATGTATTTTTAAATATATATAATTTGGTGCCTGATATTTAGTTCTCTACTTAGTGTAATGATAAGAGAAAAATATATTGTTTGTTGAACAGCAGCATTTTGTCGTTTCATTTTTAACACTGGAGAAACACCCACACGCACCCAGGGAGTCCACGTAAATTTTATTCCAGCGCCGTGGACTCGCCCGGCGAGTCCAACGTAAACGACTCTCGTACGCATTCGAAAGATCCTCTGACCCCATCAATCTATACTATACCTAGTCTAGCCATAAATACTGTAACAAATAAAAAAAATATTTTTTCTATTCCAAATAACATTTATTACTTTTACAGTATGTAAGTTTAATACATAAATATAAAACAATTTAAAACATAAAAAGCTTATTCAAAGTGGTCTCCATTGGCTGCAATACAGTCCTTTAAACGTTGAGGCCAATTATCATTAGAAGCACGCACTCTTTCCATGGGAAAATTCTTCACTGCCAATCGTATGGATTGTTTTAGGGAGTCCAAATTATCGTTTACTGACCATAAATCATAATCCAGCGGATTAAGATCGGGACTAGACGACGGCCAGTCTTCAGCTCTGATGAAGTCGGAAACGTTCGTTTCCAAGCAAGACTGCGTGGACCGAGCTTTATGACCCGGCGCCGAGTCTTGCTGGAAGGACCATTGTTGGTTATTGAACATGGTGTTGTTAAGGAGCTTAACTAACTTCTCAAGAATGGTATTTTGATACACTTGTGCCGATGTTGTGATACCTTTTTCGCAAAAGTATGGCTCAGTCCCTCCTTCATAGCTAACACCCCATCAAACCATCACTGAAGTCGGATAATGCCCACGTTGCACTCTGTCGACTAATTGAGCTTTGAACATAAATACGGTCATTTTGTTTGTTAAAATGTTGCTCAATTGTAAAAATTTTCTCATCCGTACCTAAACAATATTTTTCTGTGACCTCCCTTTGCGTACCGCTTCAGTAGTTGTTTAGATTTTATCACCCTATTCTTTTTTAAATTATCATTTAAAAATGTCCAGTGCGTCTCTTAAAGGCTGCGAGTTCTAAGTGGTTTTTTAAAATACGCGACTTGGTTCTAGGTGCTATCTTCATCTCCCGAGATAAAATCTTTTATAATAGCCTGAGAAAATTAAGGAATTCAGACCAAATAATTCATGTAGTTTTAAAAGTTGGTACAGTTATTCCTTAAGGTGTCCAGATGAATATACTAAAAGCCCCCGAGGGAGGGACACGAGCCGGGGGTATGGGAGGGGGGGGAAGGTCTCTTTTTCTAGTGTTTTGCTTGTGGCTCGAAAACTATTCATAATATCTCTTTGGTGACTTCTACATTAATTATCTGCATTAAATTTCCTATAGTTTATGACTAAAAATTTTTACTGTGCGATAAATAGTTTAGGAGATGCAGAATGTTAAAGTTGACAAAAATAAAAGAAACATAATAGTTACACGAATTTTAATTCTGAAAAATTATAAAAAAAAATTACACGAGTATGCTGTGTTATCAATCAAACTGTGTTTCATTTTCATCGTCTTGATCATCAACATCGATAGGGGTTCCATTAGTACAAGCTCCTAGGCAGCCGTTATAGATAAGGCTACACTTAATGCCCGCTTTTCAGCAACTGCATTTTCCAGAACAACCACTTTTACATCGGCAAAAAATTGATTTTAACAACGCGTCAGGAGCAGGAGGATCCAAGGTCGTTATTGGTTCTAAGTTTCCGTCGATTCCTCGCTTCCAACCCCATATTTCAGGAGGCAGTTGGTTCCCAAGCTACTCCTGTACTTGATGGAATACTCTGTAAGCGTGATATTTCGCTGACCCTTTGGTAGGGGGGAGGGAAGAAAGATCCGGTTTGGGCTTGGTACAAGATTTCAGAGAAACTGTGAATCGATATCTGTTAATCTCAGACTGAGTACAGGGCGCTCGGTATATTTCCAGAAACATTTTTTCTCCGGCTTCTGCTATAACATCCGGAGTTGATGTTGGGTCATAAAATACAGTTGCTATTTCTTTAAGTAATGGCTTTTGATCATAAAGCTTAATAACTGATATTTTGCCCTTCTTGTAAATAGCTGAGGTTGTATCACAGCCACTAAAACTATGCAGAAAGAGAATAGAATCACAAAATGCTTTTCATCTTTGCCAAAATACATGAAACAAATTTTATCACTTTTAATGCTATGCATCTCCTAAAGTATTGATCGTACAGTAAACATGTTTAGACATATTCTGTAGGGAATTTAATGCAGATAATTAATGTAGAAGTCACCAATGAGATATTATGAATAGTTTTCGAGCCACAAGCAAAACACTAGAAAAAGAGACCTTCCCCCCCCCTCCCCTACCCCCGGCTCGTGTCCCTCCCTCGGGGGCTTTTAGTATATTCATCTGGACACCTTAAGGAATAACTGTACCAACTTTCAAAACTACATGAATTATTTGGTCTGATCGACGATTTTGAAGCTAATTTTCTGTAAATATAACTCAAGAATGGCTGAACCGATTTAGCTGAAAATTGGCAGGGAGGTTTAAAGTCAGGAGAAGGACATAGGATAGGGTAGGGTAGGGAAGGTAGAGTAGGGTAAGTAGGGGAGGTAGAGTAGGGTAAGTAGTAAGGTAGGTAGAGTAGGGTAGGGTAGGTAGTCAAATGACGGGAGCGACGCCGCGGTTAACAGCTAGTCTTTAATAAGAAGGAATAAAAAAAAACACTAAACTAATTAAAATGTATTTTATTATCACATACATACAATAAATTCCTCATTACTTTACCCGTTACTGATTTTCTAAGTTTGCATTTAAACCACGGACAACACAGAGATACATTTCAATTTTTATCTACATTATGGAATAATACATACCGGTCATAGACAATAAAAAAATCCTCATACTTTTTGTTCTATAAAATAAAATACAGATAAGAAATACTTTGCAGTATTTTTAATGTTGAGTGTAATACAATAAAATTGTATGTTTGAATTATTTCATTTAAAAAAATATAATAAGGTACTTATAAATCTTACGGAGCGATACAATCATATGCTAGATGTACTAATTACTATTGGGAGTTGTGATACACCAACTTTATTACCTACGAAACAAAAAAGGACTTATACTGTTAAACACCATACATATTAAAATAGTATGACTATGATTTTAAAGGCGAAGGGATCTTAAGAATTATAATGATAGCTTTTATTGCTTAGTTTTTTCTGTCTTCCATTTAATTTTTGTGGATTTTCATGTTTGTAGGTTTATGTAAGATTCGCTTTCTTTGTGTAATTATTAGGAGATTAATTGAAAGAGTATTACTGTGTCTCCTTCTGTCAGCATATCAGCATACTAAAGCAGTGTTCCCGCTAATGATTTTAGCGCCAGAATCTCTAGTGTAAAAGTTTTTGTCTTACTAAGTATTTGCTGAAGTGAATTTTGACATTTTTTGACCAACAGAAAAAGGGTTACCCTCGTGTTTATTCGACCCTTTCAAAACCTAGTCATATCTGTTGAAACAAACTTCAAAATAATATATACAGTGTTTTCTTAGCAGTACGTTTACAAACGAAATTACATCGTATTTTACCTAGTTGAAGGTTCAAATTTAATTATCAAACAGATAAATTGCTATTTTCAATTGGAGTTTGTGTAACCATTGAAAATTACTGATGACCAAGTTACTACACTGAAATCTAGTCCTTACCGCTTTGCTATAGAATTGAATTCACTTTGACACTGTTCCTTTACACAATTATTTATGAATTTTATTTATATACTTATGTATTTTGTATATAAATAACAATCACAGTTCATTCCATTCTTTAAAACAGTGTCTAAATGATACAAGATTTCATATTTTGACTGTATTTAGAAAAGGGTCTTATATTATGCTTGCTGTGACGCTGACATCAAAGTTAAATAGCTTTTTGTACTACCCTACTCTTCCCGCTGGTATAAAAAGACGGAACTGAGTACACGTTCATCAGAAAATGACCAGAATCGGATCCAACTTGTGCTATGAGCTAAAAGGTCTAGGCAGAGCCTTAAAGGCCAACTAAGCAAATGACTAGGGCGCCATAAGCCACAGGAGGTGAGGAAGCAGCCTTAATTAAAGAAAAATTAGGCTCCCATGAAGTGTTGTTGCTATTCAATCATTCAAGGAAATGTTGCCCTACACTAGGATTTTCTCCTATGCCGTTGTTGCGTTTACAAACATCCAAATTCACATACACATCACACCCAGACACGAAACAACCATTTTTGGATCACCCAAAAAGTTGTTCCGTGCGGGAATCAACCCGCGACACGTTGTACAACAACCTGTAGCCCAGAAATTTCGCCAAGCGTGCAATAGACCGGTTTAATCCGCTTCTGAGCCCTCATCTACTGAGAGAAAAACTTTTTATGTGATAGAAAATTGTCATTCCGGATCTAGGTGTGGTGTGTATGTGTGTAGTCTATACTAATATTATAAAGAGGTAAAATTTGTAAGTTTGCATGTCGGGGGTAATGTTTGGAACTGCTGGTCGGATTGCCAAAATTCTTCACTGATATATAGCTACAATGTTCCTGAGTGCTATAGGCTATAAAACATCACGCTACGACCAAATGGAGCCGAGCAGCGGGTGAAACCGTGCGAGAGTAGCTAGTATTTTTATAAACTCACCCTCGATGCAAGAGAAATCTAAGCTTCCTTTATATCATGTCCCTTGTAACTGCGAACGGAGTACGTAGAGATGTCCTTGAAGATCACTTTTAAATAGTGAATTATTTATTATTTTTCTTTACGAATCAATAAGGTTTAATACCAATAAGACAAGTTTTTATTTCTTACTTTGTCATGTATTAAGCTACTGTTAATCATGTTCTGATTCTAAAGTGAATCATTAAGTAACATAATTGGTATCATACGATATTAATTCCAAGTCTTTACATAACACCTTTAAATCCGAAAATGGAGTTAAGCAGAGACGCAAATTTAACATAACAACATATTTTTAAGTCGTTATAAAGATGTTAAAAATTTAATAAAGAGCAAGATACTAAACCCAACAATTAAAAATACAGTCAAAACATATCTTTACAAATGTTACACTTGAAACACATAATCCCTCATTTTGACACAGTCGGGTTTCACGGGACAGTTTAAGAGTCCTTGTTTTTTTTCACTATTATGTAAGTAAGTAGTTTTAGTACATTAGACTCAAACGGTTGACTTGAAAAATAAATAACCTATTTTTGAGTTTTTGTTTTTTTTTCTTCGCTACTACTTTCCGGCGTCGGTTTAGACACAATATGAGACTATATTTTATGGTCAACAGTGAAGCAGGTTTTATACCTAGTATTTTTTTAAATCCTACTATAATATTATGAATGTAAAAGTTTGTGAATGTATGGATGTATGTTTGTTTGTTATTCTTCCACACAAAAACTGCTGGACCGATTTGGTTGAAATTTAGTATGAAGATAAACAAATGGGCTGCTTTTATCAATATACCACGCGGGCGGAAGCTAGTCTTAAATAAGTCTATGTATGTATCTATCTGTCTGTGACATTGGAGCTCCCAAACGGATGCGAAGATTTTGATTGTTGAACTAATTTTTCATTATTTCTATGAAATTGGAAGAAAGTCTAGTTCTGAATTCTAGACTCAGTGTATATTTTTGGGTTGGATAGTCCTACTCTTGTGGAACATCAAAGTACAATAGATATTAAACTTTAAATACATGACGATACGGTTTAAACTCTATGCTACTGAATTATTAAAAAAATCTACTATGCAGTAAAGATGAATTCTTTGTACATACGTGTCTTACCGAACCGGATAGCAGTACCAACTCATTTTCTACCTAAAATCTTAATAGCTAAAGGTGATTTTCCAAGGTTGCGCCATGCTGGCGGCCGGCTTCCGGACGACGAGTACGTCGTTACCTTTATGTAGTGTCATCTGTAGAGATGTCTGCTTATCCCCTTGCACCAACTTGGCGGTCTTAGGCGGGGTCTTAATGCCGGCGATAACTATGCGCTCCACCCACGACCGGGTCGGATAGCTCGCCTTTTCATTCACGAAGCTGTTGGAGTAAAAAATGCATTATTTTATTAACTATAAGCTAAAAAATTTTGGTTCGAGTTCCAATTTTAATTAATTCCTTATCTTTTTTCATGAAATAGGAAGGCAAACGAGCAAACGTATTTCCTGATGGTATGCTATCAGCGCCACCCATGGACACCCGCAAAAACGGAGGAGGACTTATGAATGCGTTGCCGACTTTTTGTGGAATATTCCGACACTTAGGGATTTCGGGGAGGGGTGGGAAGTCTCCGGTAACCCCACTCACAACGCTGAGGTTCTTTCACGGCAGTATTCTTCATTTATGGAGGATCTACCCATTTATAACAACTACTTCTACACTATATTTAAAACTAGACCTAATAGAGTAAAGCTTTTTGATTTTTGAAGCCTTTACTGCCTATCCCATATCCAAAATCCCTAGAAGGAAGACAACGAATTTATAACCCCGATATTTAGTGTTGCGGGTATCCATGGGCGGCGCCAAAAGTTGAAATAATTCATTCACCCATAACAATCAGGATGTTGTTTTATCACCGTAGCCGATCAATGTCAAAATCATTTATTTCAATTAGACCCTTTTTTGGCAGTGTCAGACTCTTACTGACTAAAAACCCCCTCGTTCCTTCTCCTGCTTGAGGCCGAGGTCGCTTGCCTTGCCTCATTGCGCTTACCCCGCAACCCCGGCTAAACATCAGCTCTATAGGGACCCGTCTGTGGTAGTCTATTGGCTCTTTTGACCCTTACAGACACTTTTGAACGTCAAACCAAACTTAAAAGTGTCAGTCTGTCGATTAGTCCTCTTAGTAAAGCTATTAGGTCGTTCCAAAGTGTATACATATCTATAGATGGAGAAGGAGGAATAATAACAACATACATTTATTTACGCGGGTATTAAAGCGGAAAATTATTATTAGAATACCTTGGTAGGCTTGACGTTTCGACCCGGTTGCACAGGAACAAGTTACAAGGAATAATAAAACCAAAATGGAAATACTCACGAGTATGTCATGGCGCCGGATTCGTACGCTAGCTTAGCGTAGATGTACTTGTTGTTTTTATATTCGTATGTCTCACCATCGTCTATGTACAAGGAGCCTTCTGCCGTACCCTGTGGAATTATTATTATTAATAATAATAATAACCATTTATTTGACGATAGGAATAAGAGAGAGAGAGAGAGAGAGAGAGAGAGAGAGAGAGAGAGAGAGAGAGAGAGAGAGAGAGAGAGAGAGAGAGAGAGAGGTGAACTGTGAAAAAGGGATGGAGCTATACGCCTTTTATAGCTCCATCTCTCTTGTTGGTATATCCGTATATTATATTGGATAGCCTGTTTTTTGGAGACTTGGAGAAGGCCAAAGTCTATAAACACGAATAGGGTAGTTGCCAACTAGTCTCTTAATAATCTAGTGCGCCTTACCACCAACGATTGCATCAGTGCTTACCATCAGGTGGGATCGCAGTCAAGCACTAGTTTATTGCAAGTAAAAAAAAGTCAAATTCAATACTTTTAACCAAATGTCAAAAACGATACTTTTCTATGGAATTTGTATGAAACACTGAGTTGACATCATTTCTGCATCAAATAGCTTACTCATTTCTTAAAAAATGAGTTTAAAAAATCTAAAATTCAGTGTATCGATCGATCGATGAATAAAAGTATAGTTATTTTTCAATATTTTACTGTATTGAAACGTCGAATTAATTTATTTTTGACCTAGAAAACTACCGTATTCTACAAGACAGTGCAACTTACGTTAATGTCAAGAGCGACGACAATAGTGTACGGGTCGTCCGCCATGAGGGCTGAGGAACGACGCACGCGCTCCTTGCGCAGTACTATCGCTCCACCACGCTGGAACACTGGGATCTGTGGGCGAAAAAATAATCATTTATATACAATTTCAATATAAGAGATATCCTGAGTTGACTGGTCGACTATATTAGTCTCGATGTGACTTAAGAGTTTTTCTCAGTTTAATTTAACGTGAGTGACACCCGGTTTCTGAATGGCTTGTCAACGCCAAAATTAACTAATCTGCTGTTAAATCTCTTGTCAAGTCATCTGATTGGTTGCTGATAATTCAGTCAACCAATCAGATGACTTGACAAGTGAATAAAATGATTTTAACATTGATCGGCCTTTCGGAAACCCGGTGTAAGTCGTTATTTTGATTGGTACCGTCATTCACACGGCAAAACACAAAACTGGGGTTATTTCACGCCGTTTTTCTGTGAGGCCGTGGCCAGCACTCCGACAATACGAAAAATTCGTATCAAAGGACTTTTTATTTGTAATGGGCTAGTATTTGGCCGCTATCTAGAAAGAAAGAAAGAAGAAGAAAATGATGCGACCTACGATGGAGCACGCCTACCCATAAGCAACCTATTCATTCGGGCCTTGAAGTAACCTAGGTTGATGGCGTAGGTGGACTGCACGGTTGGCGCGGTGGCTGGGCAACTGGCTGCCGGGCAATGTGTCGCGGGATCGATTAAGTGTGGGAGAGCCAAGCTTCGGCACGAATGGGTCGGCTCGACCGGAGTGATACCACGGCCTCCCGACGTGAAACAACCACAGCGTTGTGTTTCGCCGTGTGAGTGAGGTTACCGGAGACCCAATCCTAAATCTTTAAATCTCCAAAACCCTAATCCCTAAAAGGTCGGCAACGCACTCGTTACTCCTCCGTTGCGGGTGTCCATGGGCGGCGCTGATTGCTTACCACCAGGTCATCCATCTGCTCGTTTGCCGACCTATTACATAAAAAAAAAGATTCCCGCACGGAACAACTCTTTATGTGATCCACAAATTGTTGTTCCCGGTCTGTGTGTGCAGAATCCACGACACGGGAGAAAACACTGGGTAAAAAAACCGTTTTTTTATTTACCTTAGAGAGCGTAACGTCGAAGGTAAGGTACCCATTGGCGGGGTACGCGTGGTATGTGTCGACGTCGTACCAAAGGGTGCGGGTTGCGGCCCCGGGCAGGTACACTTTCACATTGCTCACACCCGGCTCCACTACGGGACGAACTAGGAGTTTGTTTCCTGTAAAGAAAAAGTATTTTTTAATAATTATTTTCTTTCTCAATGGGTTAGTAGCACACTAATTAGTTTTATATGGCATTTAATTAACAACCTAGACTATTTGATATTTTAAAAGAAAATTTTGATTGTTTTTTTTTTTTGTTTGAATTGAATAGGCTCTGAAACAACTTCGGTTTGAAGAATGTGAAAAGTCCGCGAGCATTTAATTTGTATTTATTATTGTAAAGCGGTAAATTTGTAAGTTTGTATGTAAAGGGTTATCTTCGGAACCGCTGATCGGATTTCGCAAATCATTCACTGATAGATAGATGCAATGTTCCGGAGTTCAGTTTTATAGTTATAAAACTTCAACCAATGACCCCTAGGGGCCGAACAGCGGGTGAAACCGCGCAGTAGCTAATATAATTTTAAAGCGAGTCCATTTTTACATATCAGGCTCGTAAGCTTTGATGTGTAAGACAAGTTAATGTTACAAAAAAATATTCACATAATTATACTTTCGGGGCCGCTTGATTAGTTTCGAATCAAAAAGGAGCTCATAACTATAATCGCTGTAAGAACATTATTTATAAGGCCGCCCGTCGTGCTTTTTGTGTTTTAAATTTGTAAAACAGTGTACAGTCTATTTCATTATCTAACATATTCCAAGGCCATAAGGTTTATAATCGCTTTGTAGGAATATATTTATGATTTGCTTACCAAGTAGGTACTGGTCATCGATGGTGTACGTGTCCTCTTCCTTGGGATACTCTTGGAACAGAGGTCGCATGACTGGCAGCCCGTCTATTGAATGCTCGTAGAATAGGGTATACCTGTGTCAAAAATATATTATAAAAAACAAATTATAAGTGTGGGAGAGCCATGCTTCGGCACGAATGGGTCGACTCGACCGGAGTGATACCACTGCCTCACAGAAAACCGGCGTGAAACAACCACAGCGTTGTGTTTCGCCGTGTGAGTAAGGTTACCGGAGGCCCAATCCTTACCCTTCCCGGACCCTTCTCCAATCCCTAAATCTCCAAATCCCTAATCCCTAAAAGGTCGGTAACGCACTCCTAACTCCTCCGTTGCGGGTGTCCATGGGCGGCGCTGATTGCTTACCATCAGGTAATCAGTCGGCTCGTTTGCCGACTTATTACATTAAAAAAAAGTGTGAAGTGGTGACCTGGAGGCTTCTCATACGTTAGGGTGTGGGTATGAAACCTGGAAGTACCTATGTTACTTTTTCCGAGTTATACGTATGTACTTTCTATGATTATTTAGACACCACTGACATACGGTAGGGAAAACAGCGTGAGGAAATCTGGACTTATAATTTTTAATTTTAAGTATGAAATCGCCAATCCGCCTTGAGCAAGCTTGGTGGTTAATGCTCATACCTTTTCTGTATAAGAAGAGGCCTTTGCTCAGCAGTGGGCACTGATAGGCTGATGATGTGACGTGATTAAATTGCCGGAGAGCCGTGATTCGGTACAACCGGGTGGGCTCGACCGGAGTGATACTATGGCCTCTCAGCCCTACTATGACCCCTTGAACCCTTGCGGATGTCCGTGGGCGATGACGATTGCTTACCATCAGGTAATTCGTCTGTTTTGCTTGGTTGCCATCCGTATCACACAAAAAAAAACAGTTTCTAATTAATGTTTACAATAATTTTATTATTATTATTATCTGATAATGGTTCCAGGCACGAAAACCATGTTACACGAACGGTTTAGCTTTCTAATTTATTTCCAAACATTCAAAGGTCAGGATAAATTTATAAGTTTACACCGTTACTAACAAATATGGAATTTATTCTGAAATAAGAACTAAATGTTAATTATTAACTAGCTACTCTCACGCGGTTTCATCCTTTGCTCCGCTGTATTTACTCGTAGCGTGATGTTTTATAGTCTATGGCACTCAGGAGCATTGTAGCTATCGATCAGTGAGAGAATTTTAGCAATCCGACCAGCGGTTCCAAAGATCATCATCACCATCATCAGCCTACAAGTGCCCACTGCTGAGCAAAGGCCTCTTCTCATACGGAGAAGGTTAGAGCATTGATCATCAATGCGGGTTGGCGCTTTCAAATTTTAAGTCCAGGTTTCCTCACGATGTTTACCTTCACCATATGTCAGTGGTGTCTTAATGATCATAAAAAGTAAATATAACTCGGCAAAAGTCACATTGGTACTTGCCAGATTTCATACCCACACCGTCATGCATGAGAAGCGGGTTCCTTAACCTACGCCACCACGATACACAAATTTTACCTGTTTATAATATTAGTATAGATATAGAAATAATGTATATTATAATATATACTACGCACAACTTGTATGTTCCGTGTAGTGCCAGTATTGTATTGGCTTTGTAAGCTGTAGGAAACTGTAATAATACTTAGTTTAAATTTAAAACTTGTCATCCATGTATTTTGTGAATGTGGTGTTTTTCAATTAATATTGTACACAAAGGCTATTTTTTAATACCTGTGCTTGTATACCTAATTGTAATTTTTTGTGTAATAATTGTAGACAACCCAATAAATAAATAAATAATGTGTAACAGACCAGAAGTCGAGCAGTGCGTATCTCCTGCGGTTGGCGTCCCGCAGTAGCGCGGTGGTGGCGGGCTCGTACAGCCAGGGCTCGCGCCGCTTCGTCTCGATGTGAGAGTGAGCGCGGAAGAACGGCTGGAACGCGCCCGCCTACACACACACCAACAATACGTCTCTATTATAAATGAATTATATTTACATAACTTTACTAAACAAAGCAGTTCTCTATCACTAAACATCCAGGGATTGGAATAGGTTACCAGTCAGTCAGTCCCGTCCTACACTAGGCTTTTCTCCTGTGTCGTGGGTGCGGTGTCCAAACACACAATTTCACATACACATGACACGCAGACCCGGAACAACAATTTGTAGATCACGCAAAGAGTTGTTCCGTGCGGGAATCGAACCCGCGACACGTTGCACGACAGCCAGTTGCCCAGCCACCGCACCGTACCGTCCCGAGTTATGATTTAGATGTCTTCAAGGCTAGAGTGAATAGGCTCTTAATAAACTAGTGACCCTTACCATCAATGATTGCATCACTGCTTACCAGGGGTTGCAGTTAAGGACTGTCTTAAAGGATTTAAAAATAAAACTTATCGTAATTATAACAAGGTTTAAAATGTTAACAATTTATAAACAAACAAACCTTCTCCTGACAATAACAAACACAACAAAAAATAATTAACTAAGTTGGTCCAGTTGTTGTTGAGTTATGCGCTTACCAACACTTGCTATCCATTTTTATATATATAGATAGATAAAACGCCACATACCTGATACCACCTCGTCATGAGCTCAGCTTCGGGGTATTTAAAGAACCCGCCGACATCGGACCCGCAGAAGCTGATCCCGGCCGACGCTAAGGACAGGCACATCGGCACGCTCACTGCCAGGAAGCCCCACTCCGCCATATTGTCTCCCGTCCATACTGCCGCGTATCTAGGGAGAGGAATCATTATAAGCCGCGACAATCTTCTATACTAGTATTATAAAGCAAAAGAGTTGACGCGTTCGTCGTTACTCTCATTTGTCTTTAGGTAATACACATCTCTTAAAGACATCTACATCACACCACGACGGTGGAGCAGATCGTGGAGTATGTCCGATCTAAGACCAACTGGACCTTGAGGGTGGCGAAGTTGGAGTTGCGTCACAATACGAACTTCAATTCGTTCATGGTGCGAGTTGTAACTCATCACGTCGAGACATTCCTCAAGGAAAAGTTTTGGCCGAAGTGTGTATATAGGAGGTTCCGAGGATGGCTACGCGACACCACGCAGCGTAACACGACGCCGAAACTTCGTGTGCATTAGTTTTTAAGTTATCTATGTAACATATGTATTAGTTTATGATTTAATGTTATAATATATTTATGTATTGTATTCTCTATGGGCCTCAGATGTCTTACTTAATAAATAAAATAAAATAAAGTATAACAATAAATTCCATCTCTGCTATTTGATAACAGTAGTAATGTTGGTGATTACAGCAGAGGCACATTGAGGCCCAAACCCTCAGGCGAGGGTCTTGAGGAGCTGAAGAGAGTAATCATTAATACACACATGTATCATACGACGCTTTTCAACACACTGAATAAAAACCTTCAAAAGATAAAACGAGAAGAGTTCTAAAAAATGTTTCGTAATGGTTGGAAAAAATTAATAGTCTATGAAGTCTGATGTAGACTAAAAAATGAGGTCTCTACTTATTTTTAACAACTAGTCGAGTATCTTGTCAAATTATTACGTGAGTAAGCCGAAAACATAATAATTAATTATTAGCTGTTTATTAATGATAAGTAAATCAGAATATTACCTCTGAGTACCAGCGAACGCGGATCGAGTGAGTATGAAGGGCCGGTACTTATTGTCAGATCGCTGCCGCATACCGTCGTGTGTCGCGCGGATGTTCCATAGACCGTACTCGTTATGCACGTGCCTAGAAAAAAGTTATAATGTCACGTAAAAAGAAATTCAACATTTAAAAAAACATCCGACATAAAATCTACAATCCCTTTAAAAAGTAAAAAAATAGAAAAACACTCTAGGCTCCAGGATCCCACAGACAGATAGACACGTCAAACTTTTAACACCCCTCTTTTTCCGTCGGGGCTTAAAAAATATTTATTTTTAATAAACTAAGTTATCATTATATTTACCGTATGTGTGTAAATTATATATAATTATTCCCTAAAAACTAAGGAAAGTTAACAATTAGGCTAGCATTATTTATTATTAGACAATTACATTTTCGTCATCAGTCTAAAAGTATACTTTAGAGCGAAGGCCTCTTCTCACACGGAGGTTTAAGTATTAATCACCACGCTTGATTATGGTGGATTCGAAAGTAAATTTGCCTGATGGTAAGCAATCCAATAAGAGTGTGTTGCCGGCCTTTTCAGCATAAGGGTTTCACACCTTTTTTATTGTTTCACGCCGGTTGTCTTTGAGGTCGTGGTATCACTCCTATTCGTGCCTAAGCATATTTTCAAAAAGTTGTATAAAAAAGAAAGCTGATCTAAAACAGAAAAGATGTTTTATTATTATTATACACCAGTTTTTGATTAACTTTTACAATAATTTTATCAATCTGAATTACTTACTTACCTTAATTTGATTATGATTCTAAGCACGAAAGGCATGTTACACACGTACGACCTAGCTTTGTATAATATTTTCAAACATTCAAATGTCAGGTTATACTGGTTTTTCATTCTATTCAAAACGCATGCCTTACCTGTGTTCCCAGAAAGCGGCGAGTCCATCGTTCCCGTCCTGGGGGGGTTTGTAGTGGCGACAGTCCTTTGGCATCGTGATCTCAGGACCGTTGAATACCTGCACAATAGTATAATTTGGCTGAAATTGGTATAATAGTCTGAATGGCGGACTTCTTAGCTGTCTAAGAAGTCCGCAATTCAGACTATTTTGTGTGAAGAAGAAATAATAAATAAAATAAATAAATAGGGTAGAGAGGGTAGGGTAGGTAGGGTAGGGTAGTTAGTGTAGGTAGTGTAGGGTAAGGTAGTTAAGGTAAGGTATGTAGGTCTAGGTAGAGCAGATAGTGTAGGATGAGAAGTGTAGGTAGGTAACTAGGTTGGGTAGTGTAGGTGATCAAATGATGGGAGTGAAGCCGCGGGTAAGAGCGCGAGAGAGGTAAAATTTGTAAGTTTGTATGTAGGGGGTAAACTTTGGAACACCTGGTCGGATTGCCAAAATTCTTTCAGTGATAGATAGCTACAATGTTCCTGGGTACTATAGGCTATAAAACATCACGCTACTGTAAAACCGCGCGAGAGTAGCTAGTAGAATATAAAAAAAAGACTCACGCTAGGCTCATTCATGTCATTCCAAATGTGTACATCCTTGCTGGTACCGGGGAAGTTCTCGAACGAGTATCGCTCCGCGTAATACTTGCTTACAAGCGGGTTGAAGAAATCTAAGTATGATGAGGAACCGGGCCAACACCAACCTGAATAAAAAGATAAACGTTAAAAATCAACAATGATGGCTACTTTATTAGTTTTGAGCCACGACTGACGATTAGTATGAGCCCTGACGTGGTTTGAAACTTATCGAGTAGTGTCCAATTAATTTACAAATAGTTTTTATACAAATCATAGCCACATTCCACTCCCAAGATTATTTAAACACAACTGACAGATGCTGAAAAAACGAGGACTTATAATTTCATAATAACCTTGAAAATTGTGATGATTGGTGATTAATTAATTAGATTTTTAACAATCAGACGACAATGGTCCATTGATTACTTTAAAACGAACATACACGTGGGATTGAATATTTTAGGACGACAAATATGTTTAAGATGATGGATGTTTCTGGACGAATGGGTGAAAGTGAGAGGAAATGAATGAGTGAGGCGTCTTGCCTCACGATGAAAGTGGCTATTGTTATTTTTTTATCATCATCATCATATCAACCACAGGACGTCCACTGCTGAACATAGGCCTCCCCCATTGACTTCCAGATAGGCCGGTTGGAAGCGACCTGCATCCAGCGGCTTGCTGCGACCTTAATCAGGTCGTCTGTCCACCTTGCGGGTGGACGTCCTACGCTGCGCTTGCCGGTACGTGGCCTCCACTCGAGAACCTTTCTGCCCCAGCGGCCGTCGGTTCTACGCGCTATGTGCCCTGCCCATTGCCACTTCAACTTACTTATCCGCAAGGCTATGTCGGAAACCTTTGTTCGTTTGCGGAAATCCTCGTTTTTTATTCGGTCTCGCAAAGTAACTCCGAGCATAGCCCTTTCCATAGCGCGCTGAGCGACCATGAGCTTCTTTATAAGGCCCACAGTAAGAGACCACGTTTCAGTTCCATAGATGGAAATATATGATTCAAAATTGAGTAACACGGGTATTATTCGGTGTCCTGCGCCCTTTGATCCCCACATAAATACGTTATATAATACAAAACAATGGTCATTCTAAATGTGAAAAGGGGTCTTTTCTCATCAGTGAGATGTTCATACACTGATGATGAATATAATGATGATCCACGTACCTTCATAATCCTTGCCATCCTTATCCTTAACATAGTATCCTAGTTCAGTAGCGTCTTCGTGCAGGAAGTAACCCGCTTCTCTCTTCACGTGGGGATCTATGATGGCGACCAGCTTGCGACCCTTGGCTGTCAGGTTGGCGACCATTTCTGAGGGGTTCGGGAATTTCAGGGCATCCCATGTGAAGTACCTGTGTTGATGATAAAATAATGTTTGCTTACTAATCAAGTATATCGACTCGGCACGCGAGATTTTCGACATGTGGGAAGTGGATTCGGCTATCATTGTACTGATAGACGTGTCAGCCAATGGCTTAAAAGCTAAGAGCCTCGACCAACATCTTAGGAGGCTCTCGTTAGGTGGCTGGATCAAGGGCTTCATTCAGAAAGTGGTACTCCTGGACACGGTTCGTACTGTCAGGAGGTAACTTTCTCTGGAGCACTGACCGCCAGTAGCTAGGACCCTATTCCCGATACCGGTGGGACACAATTTACTTTTTTTTTCAAAAATATTTATTTGTCTGTGTGCCAAATAAATATTTTGTTTTCTTTCTTTCTATCTATTAAAAACCGCATTAAGTAGTCTTAAAGATTTAAGCATGCATAGGGATATAGGGACAGAGAAAGGGACTTTATTTTATACTATGTTTTTTTTTTTAATGTAATAAGTCGGCAAACGAGCAGACGGATTACCTGATGGTAAGCAATCAGCGCCGCCCATGGACACCCGCAACGGAGGAGTTACGAGTGCGTTGCCGACCTTTTAGGGATTAGGGATTTGGAGATTTAGGGATTGGGGAAGGGTCCGGGCAGGGGAAGGGGCCTCCGGTAACCTCACTCACACGGCGAAACACAACTCTGTGGTTGTTTCACGCCGGTTTTCTGTGAGGCCGTGGTATCACTCAGGTCGAGCCGACCCATTCGTGCTGAAGCATGGCTCTCCCACACTTAACATGGCTCTCCAATACTATGTAGCGGTATACTAACTTCTTCCTGTCGGTGTACTCGATGTCTAGCCAGATGACGTCGGCGGGGATGTCGTGCTCGTCGAACCCGTTGTCCACGGAGCGCACGTCCGCCTCGTCCACGTAGTTCCAGCGGCACTGGTGGTATGCTAGCGAGAATTTCTGGAGGGAAAACAAATATTTTTATTACATGTTTTTATTTATTTTAAACGTTGCTTATATGGAGGGGGGGATTAGGTCTCCGGATCTTGTATGACGAAACACAACGCTCGCGTTATTATATAAAATATTTTTCGTTATTATTTGATATAAAAATTTTTCGTCTTTTTTAAGTCGGTTAAAAACAATACGTACAGGAGGTAATGGCGTCGGTCCAGTCAACATCGCGTACTGACGGAAAACGTCAGCGGGCTTCTCTCCAAGGAACACGAAAGCATCCACTATTCCCGACTCACTTATGAACCTGAAACAATACGATCAATTGTAATGATGATAATAATCTTCAGGATCTGATATTCCATTGAGTTGCTGGATGGAGCATGCCTACCCATAGGTAGGCATGCTCCATCGTATGCTACATCACTTACCATCAGGCGTGATAGCGGCCAAATGCCTGTCCATTACGAAATACGAAATAAAAAACATTGTTTTTTACATTTTATGAACCTATCTAAATTCTTTAATTGAATAATGTAACGTCACAGGATCCTCCGACCAGATATAACACCCATCTGGTCGGAGGATCCTCCCTTTTTGATGGAGGATCTTGATCTTGATCTCCCCCTCCCCCATCTTCAATCCTTAAATCCCTCCTCAAATCCCCCAAACCTTTAACCCCTAGAATAGTCTACCTCTACCCACAAGAGGTCGGCAACGCACTTGTAGTAACTCCTTTGGTATTACGAGAGTCCATGGGCGACGCTGATTGCTTACCATCAGGTAATCCGTCAGCTCGTTTGCCGACACACTGTCCTTTCATCCCTCCAAACATTAATTGTTGTAGTGTAAAATGGAATAGGTCTATTTTTGTGAGGGGAAAATCATTAAATGACTTTCTACCATAGTGTCAGACTCTTACTGACTAAAAACCTCCTTCTCCTGATTTAAGCCGCAATCCCGGCTAGAATAGAATAAAAAACCTATGTACCTCTGTCTCTGTATTTGTTCTCTATTTACTGTATGTGTGATGTGCATAAATAATTAAATAAATAAATAAATAAATAAAAAAGATCCAATGTCGTATTTCACGTACCTAGCATCAACACGCCGCTTCTGGCCCCCGGTAACAAGGTTGACGAGCGAGGAGACCACAGTACTGTCTGCGTAGTTGACAATGTCCACCCACGTCTCAGCCGAGTTGTGCCAGAACACACCTGCGCTGTGTTTCGGGCTGAAAAGAGAAGTAAAATTAGTGGTTGCGCAAAAGTGTGAATATCGCGCAAAAATTTTAATGTTGCGCAAATCTTTTTGCGCAGGTACTATTGTGAATTTCATTCAAGACGTGGCTCTTCTGGCTTTAGAGTAGATAAAAATCACTAATATGCAATCTTAAGACCAATTGTGTTATAGTCACAGTATTGTAATAAGTGAAAAACTAACATTGAATATAATTTTATTCAAACTTTTGTTCCATAAATGAAAACTCAGATCCAAAAATAATGATTTTTGTTCGGTTCAAAACTTGAAAGTTGAGGCTTCGTGCTTAGTTATCACATTAGACACCACTCAACTAATGAGGCTAATATTTTTTTTATTGAAAATACGACTTACGCCATTTGAATCAGAAAACCTGTAGTAGTTTCAAGACGCCACGGGACTCTTATTAATGAGCAGCGAGAGTATCGTAGCGACGTGGACCTCGCGTGAGTAAATCCTTATTTGCAATAAAGAATGTCTCACGATAGGTACTACTCAAAAATGTTATTTAATTCCTACTCCAATACGTCGTGGTGGCCCGGAGGTTAAGCAGCCCGCTTCTCATGCATGAGGGTATGGGTTCGAAACCTGGCAAGTACCAATGTGACTTTTTCCGAGTTACATGTACTTTCTATGATTAAAACACCACTGACATACGGTGAAGGTAAACATCGTGAAGAAACCTGGACTTACAATTTTGAGCAAGCGTGGTGATTAATGCTCTAACCCTTCTCTGTATGAGAAGAGGCATTTGCTCAGCAGTGGGCACTTATAGGCTGATGATGATGATGACTCCAATTTATTAATACACTTAATTGAATGCTTACCCATGAGAATACAATACAGGAACAGCTCCGTATAAAGCCATGCGACTGTCCAACTCATACTCGAAGACATCCAAGTTGAAAAGACGGTAGGGCTCGCCAGAGGTTGTTGTTTTCAGGGGGAACTTATCTGTATGTTCCGGAATACCTAGCGGAGGAAAAAAAAGGTCATAACAAAATTGCGTGATTTTTTCTTCTGAAATAATATCTTTTGATTTCGTTGCAGAATCCAAAACAATCATTGATATAATATATGTCTCTAGAAGGCGCCTGACTTCTGTGTTCCGGTGTTTTCATGGTTGTATGTAGTGTAAATCCTGGCTTATACAGGAATTGCAGCGATTTCTGGAGACTGTAACGAGCTTCTCCTATTAAATAATATTGTAAACTGCATAACTTCATATCAGAACCTCCTAAAATTCTCGTATTTATTCCTTTGAAAAGGTCAGACTTATCTTTCCTTTCTACCTTACAGAAAACCGGCGTAAAACAACCATAGATTACCAGATGCCCAATCCTTTCCCTCATCGCAAAATCTCCAAAACCCTAATCGACAACCGGTCGGAAACGCACTCGTTGTTACGTCCATGGGCGGCGCTGATTGCTTACCATCAGGTAATCCGTCTACTCGTTTGCCGTCCTATCACATAAAAAAACGTATCTTTCCTCATTTTACTTGTTCAAAATAGGAAAGCAACGTTTATAACTCACCATAAACATTATCAGCGTCTGGGAAGCTGAAGTCCAGGGACACGGCTTCGTTACCGCGAGGCTTGCTGTCATGGTGCGACTTGAAACTCTCGCCCCAAGTGCCTTCCTCCTCCTGTGGTGAATAAAATGATCTATTATTTATAATACACGCCAAGATGGCAAACACATGCATAAGATATTTGTAACAGCATTATTAACATATTTGTTTAAAGAAAATTAAGGACAGGTAACAGAGCTGTCAGATTTGGGATAATATAAAAATCCTAAATTCATGGAGACTCTAGGAGGCTAAGCGGACTGTCACGTACACACACACACACACACACACACTAAATGACTAAAATCATCCCGTGTTCTTCATGTACTGTTTTGCCGATATCGCTGAAGCATTTGGCGCAACCTTTGATGAGTATTAGCCCGCCAGATGGTCAGTCGGGCCCCGTCAACCACTGCTGCCGTCACCCCAGCCGCAGGACTCTACTGGCCACTTTGAAGCCTGCTACTCTACTCTAGTCCACTCCACCAAATTCTACCCTCCACCCTTCTTTTCTCCACTCTACCATACAAAATATCTCTTGTACGCATCCACAGACAAAATACCTCTTAAAACCTAAATCGAAACACTACCTATATACAAACATAGTACACACATACTGCTATATAAACAACCAATTAAATAAACATATGCGACCTAACTAATATCTAATTACACGTAATATTATCGCACGCTTGATATAGGCCTGACCTCACGTACATAATAAATCATATTTAATCTGTAACGTCATGTCAACAGCCGTTACCTTCATAATGACTAATACAAATGAATCTATTGTACCTTTGTAAGTAATGAACTAATTTATTACTGACTAACTACTAGCTAAATTTCTCTACTATCTTTTGGATGTTTTTATACATATAGCTATCCATCCATCAATCGCTCTGCTTATTCACTCTATCTATAGAAAAAACTTGCATAGAAATCCGTTGGGTAGTTTTAAAGATTTAAGCATACATAGGGATATAGGAACAGTGATTATAACAGTATTAAACAGTGATTATATATATGAATCAAAGTAACTATCAGCGTTTAATTATCTTAGGGTAAATTTTTAGGTCGGTCAAAGGATAAAGAATTGGATAACTTTTATATTCGCAATTTATCCTTACAAATCTATACTTAATAAATTGAAAAGTGTTTAAGTGTTTTTTTTCTATATTTTGTATTTACAAATGCAGAACTGGAAGTAAAAAAAGAAACCTTACATTTTCTTTTGTGTTTATTCATTTATATTATACCTTTTTATACGTCATATATGTGGATCTCGTTTAACCACACTTAACAATAGCTTTTGTCATTTAGCTCGCGCCAGTGACCTGTTTATCATCCATTTTATGTTTACAAGTAAGTCTAGTTTATATCAAGGTAGGTATTATATCTACTATTCTTTTTTGGTGGAAAGAAAATGATCAAGGTAAGGATTAAGATCATTTAATTCATTTGATCACATGTGTAGTATAAAACAGTTGAGTTTTCTGTCCCCATATCCCCATGTATGCTTTAATCTTTGAAACTACGCAACGAGTTTGGATGTATTTTTTTTTAAACATGGAATGATTAAAAACAAGGTTTATACGTATAATGACCTCTTTTAAATAGTGGTGAAAGTTAGTATCAGCATATATTGCAAGCAAGATATTAAAAAGAAAACATAAGCACACAGTTATTTTACGACCTTACGGCATACAAATATGCTTCCTCCGTACTGGCGCCGAAATAAAGTAGCTTAGTTTTAAATAAAAATCTAGGGAGCCGCCGATGTACTGTGAGGTCGTAGTACGAGTAATAATAGTATGTATCATAACTCAGGTCGAACCGACCCATTCGTGCGGAAGCGTGGCTCTCCCACGATAATAATTTTAGACTAACACATACTGACTTCGACATGTTTATTTATATTTGAAGTGACGTCTAATGAGCGAGTAAAGGCATTGAGGCCTAATAATGTAGTAAGCTGAGTATAGAACTATCAACAAGGCAGGAGAAGGAAAGAGAGGGGGGGTGGTCAGTAAGAGTCTAACACTCCTTCTCGCCTCGGCCCGGTTCGGAGCAGCAGACTGAACATTTAGTATCAGCATTGCATCCGGGCCGAGTGTCGTGGTGGCCCGGAGGTTAAGGCGCCCGCTTCTCATGCATGAGGGTGTGGGTTCGAAACCTGGCAAGTACCAATGTGACTTTTTCCGGGTTATATGTACTTTCTATGATTATTAAGACACCACTGACATACGGTGACGGTTAAAACATAGTGAGGAAACCTGGACTTATAATTTATAATTATAAGTCTGAAATCGCCAACCCGCATTGAGCAAGCGTGGTGATTAATGCTCAAACCTTCTCCGTGTGAGAGGAGGCCCTTGCTCAGCAGTGGACACTTATAGGCTGATGATGATGATGATGATTGCATCCATGCGAAGCCGGGGCGGGTCGCTAGCACTAAGATAATACACAGAAGTGTATCTATCTATCTCTCACGTACATCGATATCTTTGATCAATTGCTATAAATATATAGGTGACTCGGTCAATACACACGTAATAAAACAAATACTCATATTAATTTAACCTGTATTTAATTGCTTTATCAGTTGAGTGCTCGAAAATAAACCAATGTCAAAGTAAAATAATTGGTTCAATTAATGGGTTACTCAAGTACTTATTTCTTTTATTTCAATGTCAAAATATTCTTTTTTGCTTTTATATCATTATCTGACAAACAAACAGAATTTCAAACTGAATAAATAGGTTGTTTTTAACTAGAGTAATTCAATACTTTTGCCAAAATTAAAAAAAAAATATTTTTAGTATTTTTTCTCAGGTCAATAAAATGTGTCTCTTGATTGATCCTACTTAATTATTTCCTAGACTTTTTAAATCGGTCAGTGGTTTCGTTCAAAACCAATTAATATATTTTTACAACTTAACCAAGCAATATATTTTTTCTTAAAATCTATACTAGTACATATATTATAAAGCTGAAGAGTGTGTTTGTTTGTTTGAAAACGCTAATCTCCGGAACTGCTGGTTCGATTTGAACAATTATTTTTGTGTTCGTTAGTCCATTTATCGAGAAAGGTTTATCAAACTAATATTATAAATGCGTAAGTTTCTCTGTCTGTCTGTCTGTCTGTCTTTTCTTCACGCCTCAACTACTAAACCGATTTCTGTGAAATTTGGTATATTATTGACATAGTTTGGAACTCGAGATAGCACATAAGATAGTTTTTATACCAAAAATCTGCAGGAAGTCACGATTCCATGCGAACGGAGTCGCGGGCAAAAGATAGTATAGTAGGCTTTATTTTATAGTAGGCTATAAAACATCACGCTACGATCAAATGCAGCTGAGCAACGGGTGAACCCACAATGGAGTTCCAAATATTCGTACAGATTTGCTTGACTCGACCCCCAAAATCAATGCACCCGAGTTACTATGCAGAAATCTAAAGAAACATTATAAATAGCATATCAGCTCAAAAGATACGTAAACACGCACTATCTATCAGCTTCCACACGCGTTTATAGACAATGCCATTGATCTCGTATTTATCTTAATACGTGACTGATAAACAAACTGACGTATAGTTGTATATTGCACTTATATATGTATTATTTATGTACATAGGCATTGTTTTGTAGCTTTGTTCCAAGATCTACAGAAGGCGGATAGATTTGGAACTCTTTGTAGGAAAGAACCGGCCAAGAAAGGAGGCCACGATGAGAAAACGAAAAAGTTTAGTTGTAGTGGCAACACGCAACAGAAATACATCGTAAGTGTAAATTTTAATTGTCCAGCGATCACGGTATATGAGATACAGCCTGATGCCACACAATGCTGACGGACAGACATCGGAGTCTAATGTAAATACAGTTTTTACAGGTCAAAATTATATTAAGTTGGCATTTCTTATCCGACTACTCTGAGAAGAAATGCCGAAATAAATTCATAGGTCCGTCTTTAACACAAACGACCCCAACTGAAGACATAAAGTAGGTATGGACTTACAACTTTTACATCGCGTCAAAGTGTAAATATTATGGTAACGACACTAGCCGACATACGTGCTATGATTACGTTCAGTTCCAGACGATTTGCACTGAAAAATTGACGGAAACGTCATAATTTTCTTCAATTAACCGTGAAATTATAGAAATAATGTAGGTATAAGTATTAATGTTGTGAGGCATATTGAATTTTATACTTTTAACGGCTTACGGCGACGCGTAACTGATTGACGAGTTACCTCGTCTAGTTTCAAGCAGCGCTAAGGGCTCATATCCACGAGCCGCATTGCGTGATACAACACATGGTGAACATCGCGCAAACAAATCGCTAGCCAAGACCTTTACAGTTCTTAAACCGTAAAACATATTTAGTTTTAGCTATTGTTTGGCAATTAAAAATTTTTAAAAGACAATTTTTCTTAAAGTTCGCAGGCATACGACAACATGGAACATAAGTAAAGATACCAAAAAAAACTTTCACTTTAAATAAAGTTTTTCATTCATAAACTTACCTTTAAAGGCGCTAAGGTAGTTTAAGATCCCTCAATAAATTAACGAGAAACATTAACACCATAAAAAAAATACCAGAGAATTAACCCAAAAACACCGATAATGGGCTGCCAAGACCTAAAGCGCCAGTGGCGCCATCTAGCTAGCGCGAAAATTATATTATTGTCTCCTCATCAATGAATGTATCAATAATTACATTTAACACATAGAGGCATTACAGTTTCACATGTGTGCACCTTTACCATTAAAACATTTCAAACAAATTCTTATTAGGGACATCACAATGACTAGATACTCAAATGATAAGAACTATTTAACGGTCTTTTCACATTAAGGTTAGGGTCGAGTCTAGGGCACAATTTAATTTGGATTTATGCCAGTATTTTTTAATGGGCAGACATCATTTAGGATTTCGATTAAGGTAAAATAGCCAATGCATATTTCTTATAAACTTTGACGTTAAAAACAACAAAAAAATTGTTCTATTCTATAATAATCAATCGCAAAATATGTTGCTAAGCTCAAACTGTTCAAATCTACATAACAGCTGAACCGAAATCGATTTTTCTTTTGTTTGATATGATATGGAAATCTTCCTTATAAATGAAAATTTTAGAAAAGTACACTTATGGGTAAAAAGCAATCTATTTAATATCGTGACGTTCGCTATCAAAACAAATGACTGTCACCGAGGTAGTTGGACAATCGCATAAAACAAGGTCGCCCCGCAAGTATCTAGGGTACGTTTTTAAACGACATTAAATTCCTTTTACTGTCAACAGAATAGCGCCGAATAAGGAACTTCACGTTGGACAGGGAGGCAGTAAACTTGAACTTTTCAATTGTAAACTCCAACCCGCCATATAAATATAGCACGGAGATTATGTCAACTTTCTTTTTATCTTAAGTGTAAGTCTAAAAGTGGACTTTCAGAGGACTCAAGCACCTAGCTTCACTGACAAACAGGGTAATATACTGACAGACTACTATTCCATTTTGACATTTCAAAACTATCTATTTATTTTGTTTAAAAAAAATGTAAATCTATTTTACAACCATAAAAAAACTAATCATATTAACCAAATCTGGCGTTAAAATGTTCCTACATTTGAGTACCTGGTCACAAAAGCGATACAAACACAGAAGCTGACTCACAACTTCGACAGGGTTCCCATCCTCATCATCAATCCTTTCCTTTTTAACTCGGAGCGGCTCCACCACCAGCTGAGCGTTGTCATTCAGCACCACCGCCACATCACCGGCGAGGTTCAGGAACTCAATCTTAAGAGGTTCCGCTGTGATCACCACTTTGTGTCCTTGGCTGTTAGCTAGGGTCAGCTTACCGTTCGCATTTGAAAGGAGTTTAAGACTGAAACAAGGGTTTACGTTAAGTATGCAGAAAGTATTTCATGAGTATATTTGAGTTAACACATACTATCATTTTTATATTACTACTAGCGGCCCACCCCCAATTCGCACGGGTCCAACTATCTCACTAACAATGAAAGGGCCCTTTACCCCAATTTTCTTTCATAAGAACTTTCTCCTGACAATAATAAATACAAAACAAAAGGATTTGGCTTAGAGTAGTAGAGTTATGCGCTTACCAACACATTTTGCGATTCATTTTTATATTATAGATGTTATAACTGACATAATGAGGTTGAATGGGCGACGTCACCGCACCGCGTAAGATACTCGATACTCAATGTCTTTATTGCTATACTAGCTACCCTCGCCCGGTTTCACCCGCTGCTTGGCTCCATTTAATCGTAGCGTGAGGTTTTATAGCCTATAGCACTCAGGAATATTGTAGCTATCTATCAGTGAAAGAATTTTGTCAATCTGACCAGCGGTTTCAAAGATTACCCCCCTACATAAAAACTTACACCTCTTTATAATATTATTAGCATATTAGTATATAGATATTTATATATACCATAAATACATATAAAGGTGGTAACAATTATTTTATTATTATTAGTGTGACATCAATTAAGCAACAGCTTTTCTCTCACTTTAGGTGAGTAGGTCTAAGTCTACTATCAATAAATCATTGTGTCTAGATTTTTTGAGATAAATTCGAATATGGAATAATTTGGTGTGCAATCTATATATCTGTTGCAATTGGGAAGTTTCCTAAGTCAAAAATTAATTAATTTGATAAATTCCTAGGTCAAAATTAATTAGATTGCTATATAACAGTATATTGAAAAATAACTATACTTTTATTCATTGATTGATTGATACACTAAGTTTTTGTTTTTTTAAGCTTATTATTAAGAAATAAGTAAGTTATTTGACCTAAAAATACAATGAGGAGTTTCATACAAATAAGATAGAAAAGTATCATTTTTGACAAATGGATAAAAGAACTCAATTTCACTAGTTAGAGACTACCATATTTTGTAAGCAATGTGTATGTGAATGTGAAAATTGTGTTTTTGCTTCTATGACATAACGAAAAACTACAAGTGTAGATTAAAATAATCAAATATTCAGTTACATCACATAATGGCTGCACAATAAATGAAAACAATTTTCCTTTGTTTAACTTGAACCTAATTATTCCTATCAAAACAAATACACCTGTTTTACAGTTGAATAGTAATCTGACTAATTATTATTGAGAATTCCACATTTTGTAGGATATCATCTATACTAATATTCTAAAGCTGAAGTTTGTTTGTTTGTTTGTTTGAACACTCTAATCTCCAGAACTACTGGTTCAAATTGTACAATTCTTTTTGTTGTTTGTTAGTCCATTTATCAAGGAAGTCTATAGGCTATAAAACATCATGCTACGATCTGTAGGAGCAGAGCAGCGGGTGAAACCGCGTGAGAGTAGCCAGTTATCAAAAAAGGGAAGAAAATGTTATAGATTCCTATTTTACTTATTATTTAAAAGCTTTATTACAGAAAATTTTCTTGAACATAATAATTTAAAAACTCACCCATCAGCCTTAGGTTCTCCATCAAGTGCGAGCTGTGTCCTGTACCTTGGGTACAGTGGATCCACTTCATCAATTTCCACCCTGAAGGTACCATCTACCAGGGCTGACAGTCTCATAGCATAGTGCCACTGTTTAACAAACAAAATAATAGTTTTAAATTTAGATTTTTAGGCAAAGGCAACAATGAAAAGAGTATTATGTCTATTTTGACCAAAGATTATAAAAAGATTTTTTTCTAATTAGCTTGGCAGACTGTTCTACAGTATACAGCCAATGAAGGTAGGAACATAAATATTAATTCAGTAAAGAGATCATTGCTAATGTTATGCTTTATAATGTATCCTTAAAAATACAATTTGTAGCCATAATATTATTATATGGTATATTTTATCTATGGCTAACCTTAAATATATTTTAACATTCTAAACTTCAGTATTTAAACAATGGTTAACCGGATATGAAATTTAATTGACAATGTTTACATTACTAAAACATAACCAAAAAGCAAAATGGATTTGTTGCAACTTTTTTATTCATGTTTAATTTTTATACTATTCTTTTTATTTGGTTGTTACTAATTGGCTGGTTGCTTTATTGTTATGGTTTTCTACATGCCACTAACTTTGCAAGAATATAAATTATTGTAAGGTCATTAAACTGTTCTGATTAGCATAAGTCTAATAAGACAAAGTAGGCAGGTAGGTAAAGGTACCTACATCTATCAAATTAGAATTAGCAAACACATTCAATAATTTCCAGGTACTTAACTGCATTTTACAACATACAGTTTATTACAAAAATAGCCTGGCACCCGCCCAATCACCAATGCAAATATATCATACATTGAAATTAAAATAATTTCATAGCACTTACCAAAACCTTCCTTTCCTGGGTTGATGTGTCTACAGTGTCAACTTCAGCTGATAATACATTTCCATGTACTAATACAGTGTCTAAATTAAGCGCGTACTCAGACTTCTCTGGCTTAAAACCTCGTAACCGCTTGCAAAAACCCGACTGGTCACAATTCTTAAAATTATTCCTATCAACCGCATTACTGCTGCTTAACGCTAAAGCAGCGATCAGAAGAAAACCCCAGCTCTTCATACTGTAATACAAATACTAATTTAAATACCAAAAATGCGATATCACTAACAAAGACCGGTGTCAAAGCAACGAAAAGTAACTCGGTTTGCTCATCAATAATATACAACTTACCTGGCCGGATTTTTATATTTTATGCCTAAAATGTGTACTCCTATTATGTGGCGATTTTTCTACACAACCATTGCCGCCACAATAATATTATTTTATTAAATAAAACGAAAATACTGTAGAAACGCACGCACGCGTTACGTGGAGATATCCCGTTGTTCCGTTCTCACTTTGACACTTTCGCGTAGTGTTGCCAGCAATTCATTATAATTTGAGGGTACTTTTATAAGTCAAAATCATAAAAAAACAAGGTAAGTTCGAATGAGATTCAAATAGGGTGTTCCGTACATTTAACATAGTGAGTATTAAAACGTAGACTTAATTTCTTTTTGTTTTTCATTTCTGCTAATTGTTAATAACACAAGTTTTAGAGAAAATAATTTCGGTATGAAAATAAAAAGAAAAAAGAAATATGCTTCTTTAATGAATGGACTTAGTTAACGAGGTGGCGATGATATACTTCGGCAATATATATATATAGGTATAAAATGAGTTACTATACGAAATTCAGTGTTCTAGACACTCAAAATCATAATAACATAACTTATTGGTTGGAAGCCGGTTTTACTCGTACAAATTATATGAAGGCACCACAAGACCGCGAACTTAAGTACCTCAGATGTTAGTACATATACATAATATATAAGTACTCCCTCGGTTGAAAAAAGTGATTTTCTGTATTCTTACAAACCCTTGACAAAGTTTGAGTCCCTAGATGAGTATTAGGCTAGGCCTTTAATACAAAATACCTCAACTGTAACACTTTTTTGAACCGTTGGATAAAATTGCGTAGTCAAAGATGACGTAATAATTTATTTGACAAGGCTCATTACTGGCAATACTTTATAACAAATCTTACTAAAACTGTAAAAATATAAAAAAATGTTAAGGAATTCTATTGAAAACAATAATATAAGATGGTAATTATCTTTAGTTATGTTAAAGTAAATCAACTTAAAAAGCACAAGCTAGCACCCTAAAAATATTATATTCATGTATGGTGGAATCAATAATTGATTACGCTCTTGATTGCTATGGACTTACATTCAAATCTCACGTAGAAAAATTAGAAAATATACAAATTAGGTTCTTAAAACTATTAGTGGATAAAAAAACTAAAAATAAACATAAAACAGACTATTATAAACTATATAAAATTTGCAAAGTATTACCGGTCAGCATAAAACATAAGTACTTACTCGCAACTAATAGCCATGGTAATCGAGAGCGTAATTCATTATTGATTAATGTTAGTAATAGTTATAACACCCGAACGATGTCGTCTGGTAAATATGTAGTACCCAGAGTTAATAATGTTTATGGGGACCGAACGCTAGAAAAGCGTGTCCCATACGTACTCAATAGCTTACCAGACGACATCAGAGACGAAAATAGGAAAAATAAATTTAAGATAAAACTAAAAAAACACCTACTCAGTACACTGCCTTAACTTTTTATTGTACTATCCTACTTATCCTACTAACTACTACTACTACCTAACTACCGACTACTTTTCTTACTTATGCTATATCTATACTCCGATTATATCTATCTAATATTTGATTTTCATACTTATGTACTTAATATTAACCTGCTAATACTACTTATATAACTTAACATATATAATACTAATATATTAATTTGCGTCCATCGCGTTGGTTATCGAATTTATTATTATTGTAAACTTAACTTAATAGAACCTATAGTTAGTCCTATTGACTTACTATAGGTTCTATTAAGTTAGTTTTTGAAATCCGATCCAACAGACAAACTGTGTATACAGTTTTGTTGGACATTTTATACTTTTTATAATCTAAAATGTACCTTTTAAGCCATAATAAATAATAAATAATAATAATAATAACTTGACGATATTAATCTATTAGTCGACTTAAACATTCATCTCTAAATTATGACAGTGACAGGTCACTGAATGTCAAAGTTCTCAAATATGCGAGCGCCGGTTTTGCGGAAGGTTATTGACAAAATTTTATTCATTTGTCAAAACACTGGAGTGTATAACACGCATTTTTGCTCGCAAATAAAACTGAGCGAACCAAGGTGGAAGGTTGAGAAGCTAAAGAACCTTAACTTATCACCAGAGGCAAAGAGAATCAAGTACGATAATATGTCGGTCGTAACTATCGATATGGTTGACCCTTGGAACAGCTATGTAATAAGAAATAGTGGGATAGAGAATAGGAAGCATAACCTGGACGATGTCACAGAATTTAAAAAGTTTAAAATTGACAACGGTCTGAATAAATGTTTGGCTGAAAAAGTTTCTTTGTATAAAGGCGATATTACTCGTTTGGAGGTATGGAATAGACTTTTTTTATTTTCTTGATTTTCCCAATAACTATATTATAAGGCTGAAGAGTTTGACTGTTAGATCCAGTTAGATCTTGCTTATCTGTGAAACTACTAGTTTCATTTGAGAAAACATTTGTGTATACTTAAATAATAATACTATGGAGATATAGGCTTTCCGCGAATTATTATCACGCAACAAGCAATAGCACCTGAACAGCAAATTATAAGTACCGTACGGGGGGGGTAGTTACATCCCAAAAAAAAAAAAAAAACAATTCTTGACCCTAAGTATACTGACTGACTTTTAAATTATTTCTTTTTATCTTAGAATGTGCAGAGTTGTGCCTTATGCTTAAAAAAGAGAATAATTTATTTTTTATTTGTTTGTTAAGTTAGAAGTCGGTTAAAAATAATATAGTGTTACTGGAATATCAGCCATGGTTGTCTTTGGTTATAGGTGTGTCTCATGCCACCAATGTTATGATAATGCAGTTTTATAATATGTACTTTTATCTCAGGTATCTGCTATAGTGAATGCAGCTAACTCTAGACTGAAGGCAGGCGGTGGTGTGGATGGAGCCATACACCGAGCGGCTGGCCCTCATCTACAGGTAATAATATCTTCACACAGAGTATGTCTAGTAGTTCATTTAAGAAGGAGTAACAAAAACAACAGGAAGAGATTCCTATCAGAAATATGCAGTACTTATGTACCTTTATTTCTGTAACTATGTTCAACCTTACAATAAAGTTAATCTATAATATAAAAATGAATCTCAAAATGTGTTGGTAAGCGCATAACTCAAAAACGGCTGGACCAATTTTGCCAAATCCTTTTGTTTTGTATTATTATTGTCAGAAGAAGGTTTTTATGAAAGAAGATAGGAAAATTGGGGAAAAGGGACCCTTTCATTGTTAGCTAGGTAGTTGGATGCATGCTAAGTGGGGGTGGGCCGCTAGTTATTAATAATAACCAATTAAACTTCTTGTATAAAAAATAATCATTTTTTATTAAAGCAATTTTTATTTACTAAATGAGATACCAAATTGACTACATATTTTTTTATGTATTTTTATTTGCACTATCAATCATTAGTATATACAAAACTAACCCTTAACACACTGAAAAGAAAGATGTTACTATCCACAAATTTGTTGACATGTTTGTGAGCAATTGGTTTTTCCATAATGTAACTTGTAAAATGTTGATATAGTGTTTTGTTATTATTTGATATGTGTCTGATTATTCATGTCATATACCTATATATATTGATGTTTTATTTATGAAATATATAATAATGGATTGGCATATATTCGGCAGATTTTTTTTTTCTTCTTCAATGGCAACCGAGTCTCCAATTTGATTCGGCAGATTTAATATGATGAAGACTTTAATAAATATGCAATGTCTTATAGTCACTTTATAAAATAACTAGCAACCCACCCCATAATGGCTGAAATCTTCTGTATGGAAAAAAGCCCTTTTAACACATTCAGTGCCCATGTATAGAACGCACAGGTGCGTCGAGGGCACTGAATGTGTTAATAAAATAAAGATTTAAAAAAAAAACCCACCCCATAGTTGTATGGTGCAATGCTAATACTTAATTTCTTTACTATTACTACATAATTATAACTGCATCAAAATCCGTTTTAAAGATTTAAGCATAGGGATTTTATGACAGAGAAGGCGACAATGAAACAATGAATTTATTTTTGCAAATAGGCCATAAAACGGAACTTTTACACGTCAATTTATATGTGAAAAACAAGATAAAGCCCGCAACTTTGAAATGTATTGATGGGAATATTAGCCATTTTTTTCTGTATTATGTGGTATGTTAGGGTTATTGATAGCAAGTTGTTTGCCGCAAGCAGACACCACCTGATGTTAAGCAATCGGCTCCACCAAAGAATTGGGTAGTTTCCTAGGTAAAAATAAATTAATGCGATGTTTCAATACAATAAAATATTGAAAAATAACTATACTTTTATTCATCGATTGATCGATACTCTAAGTTATAGATATTTTTTGCTTATTTTCAAGAAATAAGTAAGCTATTTGATGCAAAAATTACTATGACGTCATAACTCTGTTTTAATAGGTACTAATAGATAATAAAAGAGTACCTACAGTTTTTGAAATTTGTCTAAGACTAAATTAATTATTATGTTTTCGGCTTACTCACGTTATAATTTGACGAGATACTCGACTAGTTTCAAGCCATGCTAGAGGCCCATATTCATGAGCAGCATCCCGCGACACGCGACTCGGCGACCGTCGCGCTACTGGATACTCGATACTGCGGGCTCAACGCGTGAGTAAGCCGAAAACATAATAATTAATTTAGAATGTCTCGCGAAAATTATAATAAAAATATTGTCTAAGACTAGGTGGAAACTACCGTATTGCATGTGTAGTGCTGCTTTTGTAGCTTGTTTAGGTTTTGGGAATTTGATGTATTGGATATTAAGGAAGGGTGGATAATATATTATCCTATTTTTATTTTATTATTTGTAGGAGGAATGTGACACTCTTGGCGGTTGTCCAACGGGCGAAGCGAAGATCACAGGAGGGTATAACCTACCAGCTAAATGTAAGTTATACTTGTAACATTTTTTTTTCAAACATTGCCCCTCACTAACATTTTCTCCTGTATTGTCGATGCATTTAGAAAAATACAAGTTCACGTACACATCACAATTTGTGGATCACAGAAAGAGTTGTTCCGTGCAGGAATGTAATCCGCGACACGTTGCACGGCAGCTAGTTGCCCAGCCACCGCGCCAACCGTGTAGTCAATCTAGTAGAACTAATGTACTACAGATATCAAGCTAACTATTCACAATGGGATTGGTTGGAAACACAATAAAACATACGTTTCAATACAAAAAAACATTGAAAAATAACTACCTATATACTTTTATTCATCGATCGATCGATACACTGAATTTTAGATAATTTTTAGCAAATTTTTAACAAATAAGTAAACTATTTGACCCAAAAACTATGACGTCATAACTTAGTATCTCATAGTTTTTGATATTTGGATAAAAGTATTGAAATTGACTAGTTGGAAACTGCCGTATTATACGCGAGTCTGCGGACGGCGATCAAGGAGCCTCAAAGAGCTAATAGACCTTCATAGACGGGAGTCCAGCAGGGCCAATTTTCTGCCAGGTTTGCGGAACCTAGAGTAGGACAAGGAACGGGGGGTTTTTAGTCAGTAACATTCACCATGGGTGAAATAAGCCATTTAATTTTATGAATTTCCCCTGACAAAAAAATCAGTTCACAATTATCAATTTTCATTGTAATTACAAATAAATTAAGTTAAAAATTCATTAGGGAAAGTCGACAATAAGAATGATGACTAAATTAAGAAAAAGTACGCATTTCAGTTTCATTTACCATACCCAGTAAATTGTACTCCTCCCAAACACGACAAAAAACATGTCTAATATTTTTTTAATAAGTGTGGAACTTACGAACTACTTATCAAATGTTTTGTTGTTGTGAATATTCTATTTACCTAATAAAAATTCAACCCTATTTGTATTACAATGTCTTCGAAAGCAGCTACCTAAACTAGCTTTAAATAAACAATGCCATACAGTGATAACCTTTTTTTCTGTAAAGATAAATATAGTTAATTTACCGTATTTTTTATATAATACGATTCAATGGATCGTTTTAAAAACACTATCTTACGTTTCGTGATCTAGGGTTGGAAATCCCGATACTGTGTTATCTATACCTACTTGACTATAGAAATAGAAAGCACTAAAGCAGTCACAAAAGGAACGTCAAAAGTTCCATCAATTTCGAATTTTCATCTATTTTCCGAGTGTTTTTGTTTTCGTCTTGTAGAAATAGTGTAATTTGTATCAAGATTTCAAAGCCCAGAGTTTTATTACGTTAATTCTGTCAATTTATATAATAACGTATTAAATTTTTATTTAACTAAGGGCCGATTTTTCGTAAGGTAGATAAAAGTTATCCAGGGAATCGTTATGATGCTGTCGCGTCAGAATGTTTGTACAAGACAGTGACAGCAAGAATTTTATTCATCAGAAAACATTTATCTTTAAGAGCTGTACCGACTCTCTAAAATGAGGGAAAGAAAGGCGAGGGATGTTTGCCAGATAAGATGTGTAAGAGATGAAAGTGGAATGGTTCTATCGGATAACGACGAAATCAAAGAGAGGTGGAAGGAATATTTTGAAAGACTTATGAATGAGGAAAATAATTGGAGTGGGGTTTTAGAGAATAAACCAGTGAATGTGGGGTTAGTGAGAATAGTTAGTATGGAGGAAGTCAGAGTAGCAGTGAAGGGAATGAAAAATGGTAAAGCCATTGGCCCAGATGGAATACCAGTTGAGGTGTGGAAGTTATTAAGAGTAGATGGATGGGTGTGGTTGGCTTTGTTCTTCAATAAATTGTTGCAGGAAGAAACCATACCTGATGAATGGTGCAACAGTTCTTTGGTGCCCATCTTTAAAAACAAAGGTGATGTCCTTGAGTGCAACAATTATAGAGGAATAAAGCTAATGTCGCATACCATGAAAGTATGGGAGAAAGTTATTGAACGGCGGCTGAGAGAAGAGAGTGACATTTCACAGAACCAATTCGGTTTTATGCCTGGTCGTAGTACAACGGATGCCATATTTGCTATACGCCAGTTGTGCGAAAAAATACAGAGGCGCACATAAAAACTTGCACATGGTATTCGTTGACCTCGAAAAGGCATACGACCGGGTACCTCGTGAGGTTCTGTGGTGGGCCCTTAAGGAGAAAGGTGTGCCTGGGAAGTATGTGCAGTTGATCCGATCAATGTATAGTCGCTGCAGTACACAAGTCCGGTCTGCAGCAGGCACCACTAGCAAGTTCAATGTGGCTGTCGGTTTACACCAAGGGTCAGCTCTCAGCCCTTACCTCTTCCTGATAATAATGGACGCTCTGACGTCGGACATTCAGGAAGAGGCTCCCTGGTGTATGCTGTTTGCCGATGATATTGTGCTGGTTGCCGAGAGTGCCCTAGAGGTCCAGAGCAGATTGGAGGTGTGGTGGCATAGACTGGAGAGTGTTGGCCTAAAATTGAGCAGAACTAAAACAGAGTACTTGTTCTGCGATTTTGGCGGTCTCTCTAGTTCTGTGCCCATAGCTCTCGCCGGAACGCCCATACCAACCTGTTCTGATTTTCGGTACCTTGGCTCGCTTATCCAAGGAAATGGTGAGATAGACCGAGACGTGGCACATCGGATCAACTCAGGATGGATGAAATGGCGACAGGTCACTGGAACAACTTGCGACCCACGGATGCCCCTCAGGTTGAAGGGTAAAATCTACAAGTCAGTGATAAGGCCTGTCCTACTGTATGGGTCAGAATGTTGGGCTCTGAAAAAGACGGATGAAAAGCGATTGCATGTAGCAGAGATGAGAATGCTGAGATGGATGTGTGGTGTGACGAGAATGGATAAAGTGAGAAATGAGTATATTAGAGGAAGTTTGAAAGTGGCGCCAGTGACTGAAAAGTTGAAAGGGAACCGTTTGTCTTGGTATGGCCATGTGAAAAGGAGGGATGAAAAGCATGTAACAAAAAAAGTCATGAGTATAAATGTGGATGGATGGAGAGGGAGGGGGAGACCAAAGAAAATATGGATGGATTGTGTGAGAAGTGATATGGAAGACAGAGGAGTTAGCGATAGCGTGACGAGTGACAGGACAGAATGGAAGAAAAAAACATATTGCGCCTACCCCAAATAAAACGGGACAAGGGCAGGAAGATGATGATGAGAAAACATTTATCTGGCTTTGAAGTCAGCCAAGCTATATCATGTTCAATGATTCAGGCTCTGTCGAGTGGAAATATTATCAAATGACTTCTCTTGCCTTAGGTGGGGGAAGAGGGAGTGTCAGTCTGTTTTTGCCTAAAAATTAACCTGTTCTTTATCTATAGAGAAATGAGCCAAGCTTAAAAATCTTCTTAATAAAGTAGAATTGTGACTGCATTTTTTTATGTATGAAATGTTGCTCTTTAGAATTTCTCCTGTGTCTTGGGTACGTTTACAAACCCATAAATTCACATTCACACACCATCCAGACCCTAAACGACAATTTGTAAATCACACAAACTGTTGTTCCGTGCGGGAGTCGAACCCGCGACACATTACACAGCAGCCAGTTGCCCAGCCAATACGCCACAGAGGATATAACCACATCGTCATTGCACTGCGCCAATAGCAATATGCTTTTGCGTGTATCGTTTCAAACCTTGTCCCGTTGATGAGATTATAACAAAGTTACTTTGTACAGAAGGCCTAAATTCCGACATTATCACAGATCGATATTCACATTACTTTGCCAGGTTTCCTTTTTTTATATTAATCATCATCATTATCATCATCATCAGCCTATATAAGTGCCCACTGCTGAGCAAAGGCCTCTTCTCACACGGAGAAGGTTTGAGCATTAATCACCACGCTTGCTCAATGCGGGTTGGCGATTTCAAACTTATAATTAGAAATTTTAAGTCCAGGTTTCCTCACGATGTTTCCTTCACCGTATGTCAGTGGTGTCTAAATAATCATAGAAAGTATATATAACTCGGAAAAAGTCACATTGGTACTTGCCAGGTTTCGAACCCGCACACTCATGCATGAGAAGCGGGCGCCTTAACCTTCGGGCCACCACGACATTTATATTAATTGCAAATCATTTATTTTCAGATATAATCCACACGGTGGGACCTCAAGATGGATCGGCGGCGATGCTAAAGAAATGTTACGAAAACTCTTTAGCGTTCCACAAGTCACATAATATCACAAGTATCGCTTTTCCTTGTATTTCTACCGGCATTTATGGATTTCCCAACCGTTTAGCCGCCCACATCGCCCTCCGTACTACGCGCCAATTCCTCGAACAAAATGAAGGAATGGAACGCGTTATTTTTTGCACTTTCATGCCAGTAGATGTTGAAATCTATGAAACTTTAATGCAAATGTATTTTCCTGTCCATGATTGGAATTATGCCGATGATGCTAGAACTGAGAAGTAATTTTCTGGAGCTTTTATAGTACCTCTTATAGTAACTCTTTCGTTTTGAACCTTTTTCAAGACCCAATAGAATATAAAATATAATGTTGAAACAAGATAATCTGTTCTCGAATCGAAATCCACTAATTTTTTAAACACATTGTGATGTGAAATGTTCTGTAAGATTTTTAGCGTTTTTATTTAATTGGTAAAAATATGTAATTTATTGTAGATGTTTTTGAAGACTGTTGAGTCGTTGAAAGTCTGAACTAATGTTGCTATAAATAAAATTCGAATTTCTGTGATTAAAGGAGGTATTTAATACCTAATTCAAAGATATTTTGTTTTCTTTTTTAATTTTGTTTAATTTCTCTTTGCTGAAAAAAAAGAATTTTATGAATACTACCGTAGTTTTTTTATTGTAAATCTCGGCAAACATGCAGACGAATAACCTGATGGTAAGCAATCCGCGTCGCTCATGGAAACTCGCAACACCAAAGGAGTTACGAGTGCGTTGAGGGTCTTTTAAGGTTATCTAAGGGTTTCGGATATTTAAGGCTTGGGAAGCCCATCCCTTCCCTCCAGTCACTCCAGTCGAGCCGACCCATTCGTGATCAAGCTTGGTTCTCCCACACTTAAAATTCAATGTTATAAAAAATAATAAGTTATTTTCTTCAAACCGTTGCCCTACACTAGAATTTTCTCCTGTGTCGTGGGTGCGTTTACAAACATACAATTTTACATACACATCACACCCAGACCCGGAACAATTTGTAGATCACACAAAGAGTTGTTCCGTGCGGGAATCGAACTCGCGACACGTTACACGGCAGCCAGTTGCCGAGCTACCGCACCAACCGTGCAGTCACTGCAGTAAGTTACTAAACGAGGATGTTCCTTAAAATTCACTTCGCCTCAGAGCCATTCTGCACCAACTCGCAACTTTTGTATGGGCTTGCGCTCACTAAGTACATCAAGTCCATAGTGTCGTTGCGGGGTAAACGAAGGCACCGCGACCTCGGCCCAAAGCAGGAGAAGGAACGCCCCCCGTTCCTTTTTAGTCAGTAAGAGTCTGACACTCTCTCGCCTTACCCTGGGCGGGAGAAGTCATTGGATGATTCCCCTGACAAAAAAAAAGTCCGTAGTGTCACCAGCTATGCTATTATCAAAAGTTAATTTGCGAAATCATTTTGTATCCGCGGTGAAATCATGTTTATTTAGAGTTTCGTATTCTAAAATGGACTGAAATCTACATTAGCGTCACCATGTGAATAACAAAGTGAAAGGAACTAAAACAAGTGAGCATTTTGACGATTGTGTACAGTCGAGATGATAAGCGAAGTGGCGTGTGACTTTCCGAGATGAGATTTAGATACCATTTACAGAGTAGTACTGTAGATATCCTAGGTTTTAAGCCCTTCACGCACAGACGGCAGGTGGACCACTGGTGCTCGAACGCTTGCCTTGCGTTTTTCTTGAAAAGTAACTATCTTGAAAAGTAACTATCGTGAGACATACTTAGTTTATTCGTGTGAGAAAATCTCTTCTAGTTTCAAGTCACAACGCAACTTTTATTCATGAGCAGCACACGCGTGGCGACGTCGCCAGTACTTAAGTCGTTATTTTGCCTTGCGTTGATTGGGCCGCGGGAGTTGCTAAAGTAGGGACTGAGTGGACCGACGCAAGCGCCGGCATTCGCATGTGGCGTCATCGTGCCATTGAAAAGCATCGAAAATGATCCGTGAGAGGAAGGATTAGGCCTCTGCTAACCTCACGGCGAAACACAACGTTGTGGTTGTTTCACGCTGGTTTTCTGTGAGACTGTGATACCTATCACTCCGGTCGATCCGACCCATTCGTGTAAAAGCATGGCTCTCCCACGCTCAAAAATACCCCATATCCCACTTTTGGAGTCTCTAGGATGTGTGCTAATAAATTGAATTTTAGCGGTCAAAAAATATTCATAGACAAGTACATAAGTAATCTGTTCACCATTGACATATGAATGACAGCAAACGTCACAAACAAATATCACAGTGGATGTCATTTGTTCTATTCCTGATTTGTTTTGGAAATTACAAAAATAAATAAACTGCAAATAGGAAGTCTATCAAAAGACGATCAAAAATCTATTAAATCTAGCATAGTAACCAAATATTCACGCCCTGTGTATTAGAACAGTAAAAATAATGTGAAAACTTGAACGTTTTGAGACGTAAATCGTAAAAATGTCTTCAGCACTCGAAAATGAAGATTTGGAGAATGTGGCGCTCGTTAGAATGGAGGACGTGCAGCCTTCGAGGGATAGGATAGACAGAACAATAGAGATACACATCCCTCCTGCAACTGAGGAGGATATTTTCGAGGCCAGTCATGACGATGTGCTGGATTACAACGATTGTATTGACGAAGACAGCGACTCAAATATTGGGAGTATGGTGTCTGTGCACTCTGAGGAATTATGTGATGAAGAGGATGAAGAAGGATGTAGTGACACTGAAGAGGTCATTGTTCCCGAACTCTTGGATCAGCCTAGAATGAAGGACCCTCTGGTACGTTTATTTCGTGACCTGGCCTTGAGCTAGTTTTGAGATAAATGTCGACATAATTGTACTATGTATGTACGATAGGTATGTGCATTTCCGCAACGCAATATGTTCGCCTTGTTTAGAGAAAGAGGTAGTGGTTTCTCTGTAGGGATGATATGAAGTTAATGCTTCATTAAGTCATTAAGATCAAAAAAGATAGTACCCAACAATCAGAAGCTAAGTCCCTTAGTAATTATTTTTTTAACAAAATTATTTTCATTTCAACATTTTCCACATACAGTAGCTAGTATTTTATGAGAGAAAAAGAGGTACACAATTCCAGTCTAATTGTTTACGTTATTTTTAGAAATTTACATATAATTTACCTAAACTACTAGACATAAAAAAAAATATTAAGAAATATTTTTTATTTATTTAAAACGCGAGTAAGCTAATTAATTAAAATATAAAGCATAAATTACTCCTGTACTCATTTATTTTATACCATTTATATCACAATTCACAGAGAATAAGAACAATATCTAAATCTGACCAAACGGACAGTTGGCCGACATTGGAAATATTACCTGGTGGTGTCATAAAAAGTTCCGTAGACTGTGAAATGTTTCCGACCAAAACAGATACCAAACCGGTGACCCAAGGAGAGATGATGTATGCTTGTGCCAAATGTTCACAAATGTTTAAGTACCTATTCTGCCTGGTTAAGCATGTTAAATGGCATGAAGACCAGAGCAAAGTGATGAGTACACCACATTTACGGAGACTAAGTGAGTATTTGATTTTGTATATAGCTTTTTACCATTAGTATTATATCCTTGGTCGATATATTATGGCATGTCTGAAACCTCATTAACCAGTAATTCTGTTGGGATCATTGTGAAAAATAATTATTGTAAGAATGTCTGAAAATTAGCTAGAGAAAAGTATTGCTTACAAAAACAAATAAGCCCCAAATGTTGTCTGTAACTTCTTGAAAAATCTTCCTCACTCTTAGTTAGATTATAATTGTAATTTTAAAAAACCAGGTCAATGCCAGATAATCTCAGGCAGTTGTTCAAGGGTGCTGCCGATTGTTTACCATCAAATTAGTGATATACTTTCTTGTACGCCATCCTAACCAATAAAATATTTTTCAGACAGATATGAGCCCACGGAATACATCTGCCTCCACACAGGTAGTAAAAAAATTATGTTACCAGAAACAAATTGTAAAGGGAAATTGCCAAAAAGGTTAAAATCGTAGTTTTTTTATTTATTTATTTACGTGTGTTGCATTTTTTTTGTTACGTTTATGGTTGTTTCGTTCACATTTTTATTATTTTTCACTTAAAGTTCTAATTAATTGTTATTAGGCATAGGTACTCTAAATCAGAAAAAAATGTTAAACAGCTTTTGACTGCCGACAGAACTGTTGAAGGCAAATCCTCCACTATCGGGGGCACCAGTGACCCCAATGGCGTTTAACGTGTTAAGGCAGAGCTCAATTTAAATTGGCTTATTTTTCACTGGCATGAAATGTTATTTAATTTGCATAAAGTATTAAATTTAAACTGTCATTAATTTCTCTGTAAATAAATGATTATGAATGGAATGAAACATGAATTATATCGTTGTAGGTGTTACAAAAATATCGGATATTTTAACATTAAGCTGAGTAGGTAGTTTTTAAATATTTATGTAAGAACTGGATGTCAGGTTAATCAAGTTATGCATGTTTAGTTATTAGTCAAATATTACATAATTAAATGTGTATTTTGTGTTTATATATGTGAGTTCTCTATATCAAATTAGTAATATTATGTCTAAGTGTATGATAACAAAATGAGGTCTGATATCACTGACAAGTGATCAGGACTAAAAACTAGATTTTCTGTACCTAAAGGATAAAGTATGATGTTAAACAATACCATGAAACCTTTTCGGATATTATTTTTGTTAAAATTAAGGGCTATGAGCGATGCAATTGCGACCAATATAATGAATACTTACACCCGGTTTCTGAAAGGCTTGTCAACGCTAAAATTAACTAATCTCCTGTTAAAAATCTGGTCAAGTCATCTGATTGGTTGTTGATAATTCAGTCAACCAATCAGATGACTTGGCAAGAGATTAAATTGATCGGCCTTTCGGAAACCGGTTGTTAGTGTTTTAATCTTTTTTGTTATGCTTACCTAATTATTACTTTTTGTTGTAAAAATTGTTGAATTCTAATCTCAAATTTACGTTATTTATTTAGGTAATTGTTAAGATTTTTTTTTGTTTTTGGTATTTTATAAAAATGATAATGTATTTTTAAATTTCGAATAATCTAAGGCCAAATACATTGTTGAAAAAATGTAGTTTTTTATAAATTTAAACATCAAAGTACTTACTAGTAATTCTTCAATCTACCAAAAAAAATGTTGTTATTCAGCTAAGTTTTAAGTCAATCGAGCAATGAATTTTACACCCAATACATCCTGAACGTATGTTTAATACCTACAAATGGTAGGGGACAAATTATAATTTCATATGATACCAACCTTATGAATTTTTTTGCTATAAACTTCGCGGAATCCGAGACCATTTCAACGAATGCAAAATCGGTTTGTGCGTTCTGGAGTTTTAACTCCAGGAAGCAAACCCGACTTACTTTAATAAAATTAGATTAGTTTAATTCATTAAACTTTAGGGGCGTTTAAGTACCTAAGTTTGGGAATCTTCGGTGTATACGAATTTTGAGAATTTTCCCTAAATGATTGGACTAGCAGTTGTTGATTCGCTTCATGAAATCTGAAATGTTTAACAATAGATCCCGTGCGTCCACATTATAATATCGATATTCTTCATGCAAGTTATGTCCCCTATAAAAATGTTGTTGATATGTATATAAGGTAGTAATCATAAAATATAACATAGGTAATTAATCTTCGTGTATACATATAATATAAAATCCCATATCAAAAGTCGTTGTTGTGTAAAAAACTCAAAGAAACAGTATAACCAATATATATTGACCTCTCTCAAGTTAGTCTTATATCCATGTGTGAGCGAGATCTTAGTTGCTTGAATACTTGCGAGAGAAAGGGACAGTGATAAAATTGCAATGCAGTTCAGACGGATCAAGTTATATTGGTTAATGTGTGTGTGTATTTTAAGATGTCACTTTATTCTTTTATTGTGAATGTGTTTTGAATTTAAAGTAAGCATTGAATATTTAATCTATTTGATAGATAAACAGATGCCTATGTATATGTTTGGTTCGTATTTGGCGCAAAAAATCCAAACAGCTCTTTTGAGAACTCCTTTTTATGATTTTATTTTTAATGTCAAATACCTTACTCAAAAAATGTGTAAGATTTTCAAATAAAGAAAAAGGAAGTTTGCAAAAAAAATGTTGATCGTGTGTCCAATATTAAATAACTGTATGATGTCAATGCTAAATTCTTTATTTAAAAAGTTTGTCATAGAGATGAAATTTGTATTATTTTGGTTCTAAAAAAGGGGCCACAGATTGTTAGTCAATTAATAATTTAAGAAAACTATATCGTCAGTTGTAAGTTTAAAAATAAAACAAGTTCTTTTTACAAATAAACTTTTTGATTTTTAAAACTGTATTTTTATTAAATTATTTTTACATAACATTCATATTTATTTTACTCACAAACAAATGCATTAAATGGGTAACATTTTATTAATATTTTATTACTGTGCCTTTTTATACATATACTTATTTCTAATTTCGTTTTTAAATAATAGCTGGCTTTTAAATACCTAATTTGAAATAAATTTTGATTCATTTGTAAAATTATTTATTTTTTTAACATTATTTTCGTAACGGATGTTCTCAATGATAATCTCAATTCATAAAAATAACATTCTAAAGGTACGTAATCAATTAAAAAAAAAAACATATTAAAATGTCTTTAGCAACTACAGAATGACTAACTTCAGTAGAAACAAGTTTACTTCAAAAAACAACCTTAACAGCAGGATTATGGAGTCATTTTTGAGATTGTAATAATTTGTACACAAAACAAGTTTAAAGCTTCAAATCTAGAGTCTTTTCTAACAAAAACTTTTAATTTATTGCACAAACCGACATCCGTTTTAACATCGCCTACAAACTAATTTAAGCCTTAATTTTTAATTTACATCAGTCTTTGTAATTGTTCTAGTTCTTTCTTCTTTGATTCTAGTTTCTCTCTGTCAGCGGCTTGGGCCGTCTGTGGGGCAGTCGCTAGATAATGTTCACTAGCAAACTTTGCCTCCAATTTCGATAAGCTGTCAGTTAACTGCTGTATCTTCTTTTCTAGCTTCGTCTTAGCAGCAAATATCGCCAATTCCACATCTTCTCCCAACAATTCCACGTTCACTTCTAAATTTTTATCCAAAACTCCGGTCACGTATTTTTTATCAGGATCCGGTCTGAACATCACTTCGCTGCACCGTGATAGGTTCAAAAACACATCCCGATTTCCCTCTATATCACCTCTCAATTTGTCGTCAAACTTATCAATGAATACCGAAGGTCGCACTTTATTCGAAATGTTATAAAGACCCTTTATTTCCCTAACTAAGAATATCGTGTTCAAAAATCTACTCACATCTTTCTCTATAGAATCGTTTTTCCACTGCACGAAGTCATCTTTACAGGGGAAATCTAAATATTTGTTAGAAGCATCGGTAAAGTTGAATACGATGTTATTTGTGAAGGAGGGCACTTTTGGAATGAGTTCTTCCGTCAAATATACCATAAAAGGCGCGAGGCACCTAAGCGACGTATTCAATACTGCGGATAACGTGTGTGCATGAGCGTATGCCTTCGAAATATCTTTGCCGGCAAACCCTGGTTTTGTGGCTTCTAAATAAACATCACAAAACTCATTATACATGAAAGTCCTTATCGCTTTCGTGGCTAAATGGAAATCGTAGTTATCCATAGATCTGTTGACAATCTCCACCATATCTGACATTCTGCTTAGGATCCATTTGTCGAAATACGTCAGGCTAGCCTCGCTCAACTCTGTGCTTAAGACAGGCAGCTTTGAGTACGAGAGCTGCGTGTACCTAACGCTCTGCCAAATTTTATTGCCGAACAGTTTGTTAGAATGACACATTGCGATGTCGAAGTTAACAAAATGGGATTTAATGTCGTGTGACAGCAAAGTGAACCTTAATGCATCGACCCCACACTCCGGTATGCCTTTAGTATTCTTATAGTTTGTGTGATGATAAGACAAAGCCTTCTCCATTTCCGATAAGCTTAGAATTCCATTTTTATGCATTTCTTTTGTTTTATCTCTTAGATTCTCCATATTAATTCCTTCTATTACATCTAGGGGGTCTATAACGTTTCCTTTACTTTTGGACATCTTGGCGCCCTTGTTGTCACAAATCACTCCGTGTAGTAAAACCTTTTTGAATGGCAACTGTTCTGTCAACTCTAAGCCGAGGATAACCATCCTATGGACCCAGAATCCAAGGATATCATGCCCTGTCGCTAACAGATCTAGCGGATAGAACGTCTCCAAGTCTTTATTATTGAAAGAATTTGGCCAGCCTAGCGCTGCGAATGGGTAGATTCCTGATGAGAACCAAGTGTCAAGTACATCTGGATCTCTTTCCACTTTGATTATATCAGGCAAAGTTCTCAATACTTTTGAGGCTTCCATTTTAGCGGCCTCCTCGTTGTGAGCGGCGATCCAGACTATATTGCGATCGGCACTGCATTTGTAGGCTGGGATCTGATGACCCCACCAAAGCTGTCTGGAGATGCACCAGTCTCGGTCGTCCCCAGTCCAATCCTTCCAATACTTGATGTACTTGGAAGGTTCAATGACCAGCGAGCCTTTATCCACGAGGGTAGCGGCTCTTTCATTTAACCTACTGCAAGATAAGAACCACTGTTCTTTAGGTAAATGGTCTATGACGCCTCCACTTCGACTGCAAGTCGGTAAGGTCATTTGGTGTGGTTTGGCATCTTTCAAAAGGCCTACATTTTGTAATGTCTCTAAGATTAATTGGCGACACTCATATCTCTTTAATCCGTTGAATCGGTCTGAAGTTGTCATTCTTCCATTTTCGTCAATAACCTGAATCAATGGTATGTTGTGCTTTTTTGCTACTTCATAGTCAACTTTGCTGTGAGCTGGTGTTATTTTTACCGCGCCTGTACCGAATTCTTTATCGACAAATTCATCTTGTATTATAGGTATCGTTTCGTTTCTAAATGGGTGCCAAACTCGCCTACCTGCCAGATGTTTGTACCTGGAAGTGAGAAAATATTTTGTACTCATAAACAAGAACTCCTTTTATTTGATGTACTTAATAAAAACAATTAAGACTTAATGGCGACTTACAACATTAATTTAATCTTTACGCAACATAAAATTGCATGGACTTAATGCTATAGGCATTCTTACCAGTCAACCTTAGGGTGATGCAGAGAGAGTATGATAGGTGCAATGAGAATAAAGTTATTAAGCCTATCAAAACTAGGAGCTTGGAAATATTAAAATGAAATGGCTAAAGAACTTTCTAGCTACCATTAAAAGTACTGAAAAAGAATACTTCTGCAGACTATATTTACTCAAAATGAACCTAAAAATAGAGATCAAAATTAATTACAAAAATTACCTTTCATCTTGGGGATGCACAGCAATCGCAGTGTCACCCAACATAGTTTCCGGCATCGTAGTAGCAACAACAATATATTCATCAGAATCGTATAACTGATATGCAAAATAGTATATCACACCAAACTTAACCGGTCTGTCATACCCAGGTACTTGGATATCCTTCGGTCCATTTATACTAACATTTTCAACTTCAATATCGGATACTGTAGAATTTAATGCACTACACCAGTTAACTAAGGCCTTCTTGCGGTATATAAGACCTTTTTTAAATAATGTTATAAAGGCTGTATTGACGGCGTGTGTGTGCTTCTGATCCATAGTAAAAGTCTGTCGGCTCCAGTCGAGAGAACATCCTAGTGTTTTCAACTGATTGACTATAACATGTCCATGTTTCTCTTTCCATTTCCAAACTTCTTGTAGAAACTTTTCCCGCCCAATGTCGTGGCGGGTAATGTCCTGTTTTGTTTTTAAATATTTTTCTACGACACCCTGTAATTTTGAAAAACTTTAATATTAGCAGTGATCGGAGTAGGTAGTTTGAAATGGGGTCATTGATCCGAAACGTATATATTAATATAGACATTCCTCCGGAATTGGTGGATTATTAAAAAAGAACCGGAACTTATGTAGGAATTTTATTTTGCCAGAGTGGAAGTAGTGATTTGATGATTTGCCATCCTCAAAAAAGGTAAGAATTGTAATAAAATGAGTAATATTATTCTTTATTATTCTTCATTTCTTTTACGTTTCACCTTTCAGAGTTGTGGTGCATCCTTAGAACAGTCTCACGACCCCAGCATTGGCCCTCTATGGGGCCCCGTCATTTACTCTACCCTTAATGCAAATTACCATGACCACTATGAAAATATTTAAATTTAAGTGCTACAATTTATTATGTCTATCTATAAAAGTTCTAGCCATAAAAGGCTAAAAGAAAAAAATTAAAGCTTCGATCGGAATTCGATTGTTTTTATTATTCAACAGATAAATAATGAATTAATTTAGTTTTGATACCTTCCTTTAAATTTTGAATTGAGTAGGAATAATATCATTTAATTGAATCCGGAAATACCGGAATTACTTTCCGGGAAAATGGCTTATCCATGTTATTTTTTCTGTGTGCATTTATGATAAAAGTACCAAAAATCAATCTACCTACTCCGATCACTGGTAATGAGTTAAACAATTAAATAGAAATTGAAAACGGAAGATGTGACATGTAGGTAATTAATTTTCTTTTGCACTCCAACACTTGAATAGGCCTAGCTACGTCTGTTTTTCACGTCCTGTCGTAAAATTATACTTAGCAGTCTTAAAGCCTTTACTAACTAACGGATTAGAAGCATTGTCAAATGTTACAGAAGCGCAACGAATACGCTGTGGATGCGCGATGACTGCGACATACGACACGGCTACGCAGCGAGGACGTCGCGAACACGACACGGGTTATTAATATTAGTTACTAGGCTACTTTTTTATTATACACAATAACATTTTATTAATTGGGTAATTGACAATTACCTAGGTAGTTAAATTATTATGCCATGTACCAAGGTACCTACTTGCTTCAGAAAAATTTTTGTGACGTCACATTTTTTGCATTAAAACTTTAACCTTTTCTAACGAAGGTTTACTCGAAAAATAAATTAACCAAAGTGTTTAATAATCAATTAATCAGGGAATTAATTTAGATTTTTATTTTTCATTATTTTAAAGTAAGTATTAAATAATGTTAAATAATGAAATGTTAAAACATTATTATTAACTATGAAAGTATTCAATTTTGTTCCTTCATTTCCTAGTCTATATTATTTTCACAAGATGTAAAATCTGCATCGTTATTTACTATGCAGGTACGATAATTATGATTTAAGTACTCAGAACAGCGCAGGTAACCATTCTTTGGATACTGAGCTAAACACCATAAACATAACATATTGTAAAAATACCTACTCTCTTATTGAATCAGTAGACAACTTTATATTTTTTTTCCTGCTAACTGAATAATTAAGTAAGGTTGATATTTGTTTTCTAATGATGTGCTAATATAGCCTTTTATTTTTTTTTTATTTTTTTTTTTTTCAACCAAACAACAAATAATAGACTAATTTCAAACTTTAATAAAAAAAAAATCTTTGTGTAATAAAATGTAAATGTAACATAATGTAAGTTAAGGATCTGAATAAAAGGCTATATTATAATGATGTGCTACTAATAGGTAAATAGTTTTGTACCTGTGTAGCAATGCCAGCATGGTCTATACCAGGTAACCAAAGCACATTGTAGCCTCTAGACCTCCTGTGTCTAACTATCACATCTTGAACTGTACATGCTAATGCATGACCTGAAAAATAAATAAATATCTATACTAATAAAAGGGGTAAAATTTGTAAGTTTGTATGTAGGGGGTAATCTTTGGAACTGCTGGTCGGGAAGCCAAAATTCTTTCACTGATAGATAGCTACAATGTTCCTGAGTGCTATAGGCTATAAAATGTCACGCCACAATCAAATGGAGCTGAACAGCGGGTCAAACCATGCAAGAGTAGGTAGTTATTAATAAAGCATTTTAAAACAAGATATAGTGTGGCTTATTCTAAACAATTAGTAATATTGAAATTAAGTTTTTTAGAGGTATATCTAACTTTATTTTCTTGATAACTAATGAGGTAAAATTGGAAATAACAAAAAGCTGAAAAAATATAGTCTTTTTAAAAATACACTAACTGGTTACAATGCGGCAGCTTAGCAGTAGCAGTGTTTATTATATAGTTTATTTTGTTGTAATCTTATTTTTATCCTAATATTTACTATAAATATCGATTAGCATAAAAATAAATATAGTCTATAAATACAGGCCAGTAACACTTATCAAATAGAAAGACTAATTACTACAAAAACCGTAGTTCTATAAGTATACGAGGATATCTTAAAAAATATAACGTTTATTTAAAAAAATGGTATAATTTTATTAGTTAAAAGACAAATATTCTAACCTAAATGCAGAGACCCCGTGACATTCGGAGGCGGTAGCACCATACTAAACCTAGGCTTTGTGCTGGAATTTTCAGCTGTAAACAGATTGTACTTTTCCCAATTTTCATATTTCTGTTTTTCCACATTACGGGGCTGGTAAGCATTAGCAGAAACATTTGGCTTCAAAACTACGTTTGTTGTACTCTTTATGAACCTCTGTTGAAATTGCTGGTAGGTTACTTTCCAATTTTGTAAATGTAACATTTTTTCAGTTATTTTAGTTGTAAAAATTTTACATGAAATCTAAGTCGGCGATCTGTTTTTTCCGAAATTTGTTTTGTTTTTGACAATTATTAGACCTTGCGTGTTCCATGTTACGAAGTTGATAAAGTATCTCTTACTCTTTTTGACACCGAGCTAAGTTATCACTCTATTTCATTTTTATGTTATAAATCCTAACTTGTACGACACTGACAGAAGATTTGACAGATTTGCATTGAATTGACAAAATATGTCATTTAGGCTCCGCTCCGTTCCATTTTAACGAACATTTTGATTTATTTTACTTTATATGTAATAATGAACAGTATTTAAATCTTAAAATAAAACTGAATACCCTCCTTAATGTTATATATATGTAAAATAAAATTAAAGAGTTACACTAGGTTATATAATTTTACAAAAATCAGTGCTGCCTGATGCGTGTAATGAAACCAATGTGAAAGTAGGGTTGCCTACCCAGCTACACTTACCCTAAACTCTTGGAATCTTTATATTAACAAGTGAGATTAGTGGTTTTGTTATTATTTTAGTTACACTTGTAAAACTGGATCTAATTTGTTTAAAACTTCTTTATAGATTTTTTTTTTCTGGAATTGAAGGCAAGCAGATATATATCATGTAGAGAGTACAGTAAGTGATCAGTGCCGTTCATGGACAGCTGCAACATCAACAAAGAAGAAACATACGCTTTGCCGGCCGTCATAAAATAAAATAGTCGCATATTATCAATCAGGGAGTTTAGATTTTTGTTTATGGTAGCCCTTTATTTTCCCAGAAGACAGTGTCAAAATACAAATGGAAAATATTGAATCTGTCAATAAAACTTGGGGTCTTATCTGACTATTTTCAACAATAACAATAATAATTACCGACTATTTTATAAACGAACTGACCTCCGTCGTTTATCATTTTAATCTACAAGCACCCGTGGTAGGGTTGCCAACTTTTTTTGACAAATAAAACGTATAAAACTGGTTTGGGTAGGAAAAAAATAAAGTATTAGGAAGAAAAAAAAGTATATTTCAAATTTTATGTTTTTTTTTGCTTTACAACGTATTTTTGTGTGCTTTTTTGTGTCAATGACAGCTGAACTGATTGTAAAATTCACGCCGCAGATAATACATTTTGCATTATATTTATTTTGAAGATCACTTGTTAGCCAGTTGTATTGTTTTTCCCAATCAAGTTTATATTTTTGTAAATCTTTTGTTACCTACTTTATTTTAGCTTTTTAACAGTCACTGGTGTTTCAGCGGGAGGAAACGCCCGAGTGTCGTCATTGTGAGGACCACCTAGAGGATACGGTGGAGCATACGGTAGCGGTATGCCCTGCCTGGGCTGAGCACCGCCGTATCCTCAGGGAAGTGATCGGCGGCGGCGACCTCTCGCGCCCGGCCTTAGTCGAGGCCATGGTGCGGAGTGAGAGGAACTGGGACGCCGTCTCCTCCTTTTGTGAAGCAGTCATGCTCGCAAAGAGAGAGGCGGCCCGCGTGAGGGAGCAATCCTCCTCCTCACGCCCCAGCAGCCGCAACTGGCGACACTACGGGCGTCGGGGATCGAGGGACGATCTCCGGCCACCGTAAGTACGGGCCTGCGGTCGGCGAGTAAGGGCAGCTCGCCGCCCGACCAGAACCAGGCCCGAGCGTACGGCGCGTAGCGTTCCGCGCGCGCCTCAAAGAGCCAATAGACCACCACAGACGGGGCCCTAAAGGGCTGATGTTCAGCCGGGGCTGCGGGGTAAGCGCAATAAGGTACCGCGACCTCGGCACAGAGCAGGAGAAGGAACAGGGGGGTTTTTAGTCAGTAAGAGTCTGACACTCCCTCCTGCCCGGCCCTGGGCGGGAGAATTCATTTGATGATTTTCCCCTCACAAAAAAAAAAAAAAAAAAACATTCACTGGTGTGTCGCTATCAGAATTACTCATAATTTTCAGCATTTCGTTGAATAATTAAAAATTGTTTCCATTATCCGTTTTAAATATTTTGTTCAGCAATTATGCATCGTTGAGTACTCATAATGAGTATTTTGTTTTACGCACCACAGTAAAGGTTTACAATAAAGTATTTTTGCATACTTTATTTGTATGTAAAGTATAAAGTATAGTTACCAAAAATAAAGTAGGATACGTTATTATAAAGTATGGTTGGCAACCCTAACCCGTGGTGCACTGCGTCATCTATCACGCTTCTATCAACGAAGCGGACTTAACCCTTGTACTATACTCGGAATTTTAATTCCATTCCAGATTTGACAATTTCAGTGTTGCAACGTTATGACACGTAATAAATAGTTACGTTGCGAAATTATTCGATATGGATATCGAATATTTCTGAATCGATTTCTCTCGTTTATAAATTTACTCTTATAAACTAAGTTTATCAGGAAATAAAATATTTCCGAACCGATAATTTAGATCTGAGACTTTTCTTTTGTAATTGTGTGTGAAATTAATAAAAAATGTGATCATGAAGGAACGTGGCAAATAAAACAGACATTTTATAAATTGTCGCCGTCATCGCTATCGCTATCGCCGTTACTCTATGTAATATTTATTATGAATTGTGTCTTTGATATTTATTGTCAATTAACATATCTAGCTTACTCATTTTTTCCTCTTCTTTGAAAACATGGGATACACATTTAGACCATTCGGTAGCCGTAATTTTTTGAATGGCGTCCTGAAACTGATTCACTGATTGTTTATCGATTTTACTGTCCATCACTACACTGTTATATGTGGTATCATTATTTCACAAAATGACAGTGGTCAATGTCAAATCAGGAATGGAATTAAAAGTCTGACTATAGAGATATGCATTATCATTACTACACATTTATCTACCCACGATTAAACACAGATCTGTTTCCTTGACTTTAATAAAAAAAAAAAAAATGTTGGAAAAAAGCGTGTTGCGTTTTTTAAACCCTTTTACGGTGGCGCGAGAATATTTCCGGAAGCCTGTCGAAGCGTTTTTAGTGAACCAATATTTGGGATATAAGAAAAAGACTGATGAAAGTTTAACGAGTGTTAAAGAATTGATGTACAGGGTCGCTATAGTGACGTTATTTATAACTGTTATACTGTGGTTATCAATTTTTATGTATGTGGGCTTCTACAATATTTACATGCCAAATGTTACCCATGTACGTCCGGTACATTTTCAGTTCAAGTAAGTATTTTCAATATTTTTACACTTATTTAGCTAGTGGTCCTTATTGTTATGAACAATAGGTGATAAAATCTCTCATGGAAAACTATTTGTAAAGTCTATTGTTGTGAAATGTGAATAGAAATTGTAATATCTATTTTTATTTACATACAATCAGATTTGCAATGATAATATTCACAACAACAATAACATACATACATAATTTGCAAGGACTGATGTGTTTATTTTTGTATTATCTATACTAGTATTATAAAGAGGTAAAATTTGTAAGTTCGTATGTAGGGGGTAATCTTTGGAACCGCTGGTCGGATTTCCAAAATTCTTTCACTGATAGATAGCTACAATGTCCTGAGTGCTATAGGCCAAAACATCACGCTACAATTAAATGGAGCCAAGCAGCGGGTGAAACCGCGCGAGAGTAGCTATATTCAAGGTCTACAAAATTACTATTATATCTATACCTCCTTGAGACCTGAAGGAAGGCGAATCCCTGAAGGATACTCATTGAATATAGGTAGGCAGTAACAGCAGAGATTCCTTCCAGAAGTAAAATATATTAAACAAATAAAACTTTTTAATATTCATATAACAAAAGCCAGTACCGAAAAGGTAGAATGATATTATATTTTAAAATTTTTAGTGTCATGTAGATTGATAGCTTGGCACCTTTGGACATTCGCAACACCGGAGAAGTTGTGATTGTGTTGCTTTCCCTTTAGGGATTAGGAGCTTGGTGAGCAATGGGGGAAAGGTTGAGCCTAGTAGTAACCTTAGTAACCTCATCTCATACGGCAAGAAACAATATTGTGGTTGTTTCAGATTGGTTTTCTTTGAGGCCATGGTGTCACTCCGGTCAATCCGACCCATTTATGCTGAAGCTTGGCCATACCTAATTTATTTCTTTTATTTCCAGACCATGTGAAGATAAAGCGGGAATATGTTCATATCCGTATGCGTACGTACAGCTGACGAAGGCTAGTAACATCCTGATGCAGAAGCAGCCATACAGGATCAAACTCGTTCTTGAAATGCCAGAGTCCGAAGTCAATAAAGATTTAGGTAATGTTGATTTTTTTTATATTTCTGATAATTATGGTTGCACACTAGAATTTTTAGTGAGTTTAAGAGTTTTATGCAATTAATAATCTCGCAATAGGACTTAAACCACTGTAATTTTCATATTTTTTTATGGGATAAGTCAGCAAACAAGCCTATGCATTATCTGATGGTAAGTCAAAGGGGTTACGAGTGCGTTGCCGGCCTTTTGAGGATAAGGGTTGTGGATATTTAAGCAATAGGTTAGGGATAGGTAGATTTTAAAAGGGATAAGGATTGGGCCTCCGGTAACTTCACTCACATGGCGAAATACAACGCTGTGGTTGTTTCACGCTGGTTTTCTGTGATGCTGTGATATCAATCCGGGCGAGCCGACCCATACTTGCCTAAGAATGGGTTTACCACACTAAATTGTAGAATCTATGACTGTAACGGAAATGATGAGTTTTTTTTTTCAAAATACACATTTAAATTGGCCTAACGTAAAAAATTACTTAAAAAGATTTCATTAGAATTTTTGTTGTGTCTTAGGTACTGTTTGACCACACCACCTTATCATTAATAGAGAGAGTATTCAACCTATCTAAGGTCAGGGAGTCAGCAAAATTCAATCAGGCATAGATAAAATAGTCCATACTCTTATCATTCACTTATCTAACAGATTTCTATTAGTTATGGGCAAAGTGTAACATTAGACAGATTTGAATTACACTGCCTTATTATTCCTTTTTAAAAAAATCCTTGGCCCTTATTGGGATTTACGCATGTGTCGTGGTTGCGTTTAAACATACAATTTCACATACACATCACACCCAGACATGGAACAACAATTTGTAGATCACACAATAAGTTGTTGTTGATGATTGACCCCATCAAAAAAAACCCCACTCTTATTAAAAGAGTACAAGATTCTTAACTTTATTTTTAATTGCAGGGATGTTTATGGTATGCGTTCAGATGCGCGCCAAGGGTGGATATTTGGTTTCCTCATCGTGCCGGTCCGCAATGATCAGATACAGGTATGTACTACTTTATATCATTGAAAGACCGTCACAGTTTGGTTTGAGACTCCTAAACGTAAAACATAACATTATCTGCACTTTTTAAATTAGTTCAAGATGGCAGTTTAAAACAGCAGTAAGCAAAAATCACCTAGGTTCACTGATAATCAGACTGACACTATTATTATTATTCTATTTTGACGTTTCAAAAGTATCTATTTATGGTTTAGCTGGAACTAGCGAGCCCCGGCTTCGCAGGGGTGTAATGTTTATACTAAATCGCTCCACCATTTAATGGATATTATTATACATATAAACCTTCCTCTTCAATCACTCACACCCAATTTCCGAAAGGCCGATCAATGTTAAAATCAATTTAATCTCTTGTCAATTCTACTGATTGGTTGACTGAATTGTCAACAACCAATCAGATGACTTGACAAGAGATTTGACACCTAGTTAGATTTGAAAATTGATTTGAAAATTGATCGGGCTTTCGGAAACAGGGCATCAATCGATTAAAAAGACCGCATTAAAGCGTACATGGGGATATAGGGACAGAGCAAGCGACTTTGTTTTATACTGTGTAATGACTTAGGATGTACCTATGGTTAAAAATATATTGTAAAATGCTCTCTATTATTACGTAGATCTCTCCTGCATCGAATAATGAGGACTTTTGTCTTCTCGCCCCTGTACCTCGGAGGCATGGACGAAGAGAAACAGCAGCTGAAGGTGGAACTCTTCAGTGATTTTGAAGATGACCCTGTAAGTTTTATTGTAGTTTTAATTGTACTTTTAATTAAACCTTTTCTCAGTCATTTCCTCTGGTTTTGTTGAAACCGGTAGACCATTCTTGTCTTTGTTTAAAAAAGAAAAGCTTTGCCCCACACTAGGATTTTCTCCTGTGTCGTGGATACGTTTACAAACATACAATGTCACATACACATCACACCCAGACATGGACCGAAAATTTGTGGATCACACAACATGTTGTTCCGTGCGGGAATTGGGTAGTTTCATAAATCAAAAATAAATTAATTCGACGTTTCAATACAATAAAATATTTGAAAAAACTATACTTTTATTCATTGATCGATCGATACACTGAATTTTAGATATTTTTAGCAAATTTTTAATAAATAAGTTAGTTGACACAAAAAAATATGTGCGTCATAACCACAGAACAGAATTTTTTTCTATTCCGTGGTCATAACTCAGTTTCTCATACAAATTTAATAGAAAAGTATCGTTTTTGACATTTGGATAAAAGTATTGAATTTGACTAGTTAGAAACTACCGTATTGCACCCGCGACACTCAGTTGTCCAGCACCGCGCCATCCGTGCATTCAAAAATTCATGATCCGTCCATCTTTACAGGAAAAGCCAGCAACGGATGCGTACGTAGAGTTGCAGTCGCGGTTCGCGCAGGTTTACTCCAGCGAGCTACATGTACAAGCCCACTTCACAGGTTTACGGTACCTCATGTTCAACTGGCCCAAGATATCTGCTGTATTCGGTAAGATTAATAGCTTTACCCCCCGACGGGAGTTATCCGCTTACCATCACAATTTGCGAGTCAAATCACCCCTGGTTTTTGAGGGTGGAATGTCATCAATTGTCTTCTCCCGCCCTTGTTGTGGTATGAGGGAGTCAGACTAACTGACCGAATTTTATCGTAAATTAGTATTGAATTAGATTTTCGATAGTAGCCATAGAATTAGCTCATGTTTGAATGCAGTTATAATAATAATCAGTCGGGGTATCTGGGCAAGCGCAATATGGTACCGCGGCCCAGATCTAGAGCAGGAGAAGGGAGGGTTTTTAGTCAGTAAGAGTCTGACACTCTCTCGCCTCACCCTAGGCGAAAGAAGACATTGATGATTTTGTCTCAAAAAAAGTAATAATTAAGTACATGAATTTGTTCCAGGTATCTGCACCAACTTGTTCTTCGTATCGCTTATATTTATTTTGAGCTGGTACCATCTGCAAGACGGTCTGCCCGATTTTATCAAAGTAAGTATTATTATTACTATAATACTAAATCTAATAAACATTTGTGGGAGAGCAATGCTTCGGTACGAGCGGACAGGCTCGACCTGGGTGATACATATTGAGGCTTTGACATAACGCTTACGTTGTGTTTCGCTGTACGAGTGAGGTTACAGGAGGCCCAATATATATATAGAGGAGAGGCCCATATTTCTCCTACCCAACGGAAGGGGTATTACTATCCTTAAATCCCATGAGCAGAGCCGTTTACCAGCCTATTCTTCTTGTCTTGTCCCTTCTTTTGTAGGAACAAAAGAATAAAATTAAAATATCATATGTCATGTACTCATGTCGATTCTATAGCAAAAATACCTATTTTTATATCATAAACGTGGAAGTTGGATGGATGCTTGCTACTGTTTCACGTTTATATACTAAAGAATTTTGATAAAAAATGTCACAGAGATATTATAGTCTAGAATAACTCATAGGCTTCTTTTCGTCCAGGTAACACGAGCGAAGCCACTGGCAGAAGCTAGTTTGTGATGTACATTAGAACGTTATTTTGTCTCCTTACCATCAGACAACTTTTTTGCTAGTAAAGCAAGAACATAAAACTTTATTCGAACCACAAATTGTTAATTTAATTTGTGCAGTAATGTTGAACTTGTAATAGAAGTTCCACAAAGTTGGTAACATGTTACGACGTCCGTCGTCGTCTTAATGCATATTCACTTGCTTAAACTCGTCTTGAGAGTATTTATTTTGTTTGATCTCAAACTTGTAAAGTTGTAAGTTCTGCCGGTTCTTAGCAATGTATTGGAAAAGTTAATGCTATCTCGGATGCTCCATAACCAACAATACCGTTTCACTTAAGGTCGTTGTACAACTGAAGCCGGTGTCACTTTGATAAAGGAAGTATTCGATGCTTGGGAGGAAGAACAGGATGCTGTTGGTGTCTTTTGCGACCTTTCAAAAGCGTTTGATTGCTTTGATCATGAACAAGTTTTGCTGAAATTAGATCATTACGGGATTAGACATACTGCACTCCGTCTATTAAAATCACATTAAGAGGATAGACATCTGAGTATTCATGTAGATGGTTCTAACTCACAGGGCTCTGAGATAAGAATGGGTGTTCCGCAGGGTTCGATATTAGGTCCCTTTCTCTTTTTAGTGTAACATGAATTGTCATTTCTATTTAAATTTTACATCATTTAATTTGTTAAATAGGTCGTCAAGTTCATAATTGGTTCACAATCAATAATGTAGCGATTAGCGAGAAAAAAACTAAATGTATTAAATATAGCTTGCCAAACGTACACAGTAATGGTTATGAAAAACTACGTTGATATAATGAATCCTTTATTTATATGTATATCCATAGAGTTTATACTATAGAATCATTATTATTTTGGATTGTCCTACGTGAATGCTATGTTCGAGACGATAAAGGATTTAAAATTTGATGATAGATCCTATATTTTTTTTTATAATAGCTTGTTTCTGCATTGTTCTCACAAATGCATACTAAATGATGTATAAGTGACATTGTAAAACAAATATAAATATTTTAATAAGAGTTACGATGGACATTCTTGTTCGTTCTGCTCCATTCCAAACTACACTTTGGAACGAACACCTAGCTTCACTGTCTAACAAACTGACAGACTACTATTCTATTTTGACGTATCAAAAGTACTACTATAATGGTCTAGTTGGAATAAATGATCTTGGCTTTTACTTTGACTTTGTAATGGCGGCACTAGTACCGATCTGAAGTTTGCGTGATTGCTAACTTCACTCTGCTCAAATAATTTAATAGTTCTAAATTCAAAAGTAGTTACAATAAATGTTATTGTTTTTCAGAGTAAATTCCGTTCGGAGATAAAGACTGAGCAAGAAGATAAGGAAATATTCGGAAAAGTGAAGCTGGAACGAGAAGGTAAGAATTGAATTGGGTGAACAATCTTAGCACATCTTTTTATATTAAAGAGGTCGTATGGATACACAGAAAGATTATTTAATGAAGACCAGGCAAAAAACCCAGACCCGACAGAACAGTAACATGATTTTACCTCAGTTTTTTTGTTATTATTTATATTATATAAGCATATTATACATATAAGACGGAGCGTCGATTATTTAAATTATTGAATTTTGAAGGAGGTTTTATCACAATTCATCGGACGAGGGTACAATGAATCGTACTCTGGCGGAACGTCAAACTGACAGTTCTGCGTGCGCATTATGGTGGAGAGCGAGCGCTGTGGCTGTCATAGGAGACGTCCGTTATTTTTGTAATTTATTCGGTCTGATTGTAATCCTACGCCCTGCGATGGACTGTGAAGACGATGATCGGGATGTTGTTGTTTGTACCAACCCCCCGGTGCCTTCATATAGTTTTTATATTCGAAATCAATGGCTAACACCAAAATATTGCCTTATGTTTTTGTTCAGGCTTTACACTAAAAAAGTAAATATATGTAACTAAATGACGATAAGTATCCGGGAGACCTGAAAATACAGCTGTATTATAATAGGTCTTTACCTATGAAATTGCCGTTCTGCAGTACTGGCCATTTCAAATCAAAATAGTTTTTGTTAGGCTAAGGCTAATTAATTTTGTTTTAAAAACATGGGATTCTTTTTCCAAAAGTAGTCACTTGTTTATTGATTAGTGTTACATTTTCATCGCATTTCAAATCAAAATATTCGTTTAAATTCTTTCATGCAAAACGGCAATTTCATAGGTAAAGAAAGACCTATTATATTTTTTGCACTCCTAGTACAACATTCAACTTAAATAATTTCCATGAAACAGCTTTAAGCAACATATTTATATTAAACTGATTTTTTTTCAGATTCATCGTCATTATTTGACGAGGACGCGCTTCTAAAAGAGTTTCAACAAATAGAATCGAAGGAGGAGATAAAAAAGACTTAAATGTGATGTAATAGTTATATATAATTGTTATTGTTTTCATTATTAATTGCGTTATTATAGCTAATTATCGTGTGTATGGGATCAAAAACTTATACAAGCTTCATTCATAAAGATTTTTCCTTGGAAAATTAGCTTGAATTCCCCAGAATTTGAGTTTTATGGACCTCTAGGCGTTATGTTGGGGGTCGAAAATCGAAATAACCCGAACTTATGCTTCTGTGATTTTTTTATAAGTGCCATTTTGAATAGACTTCAAAAAAAAGCCCAATTCATTTTTAAACATTTTTTTTGCTTTCTGATCGAGGTACAAACAAGCATTTATTTTTCATCAGTACAAAGTTCTATCCAAAACAGTATCAAGTAGTTTAAGATATTAATGTGCAAAAAATGTAACTCGCATTTAGTTCGTTTTTATTAAAATAGTAACGTAATTAAATAAAACCAGTGATTTTTTTGTATTATACCGTGAAGCGTCTTACTTGAAGTGTACGGCTTTTGGCGGAAAAATTCCAAGTTAGAGGTTAGGTTATAAATAACATGAGGTGTTTTTTTTTAATTTTCTTCCTTCCCACCATAACTGCGCAAGAGTGTTACTACGATATAACTTATGAGACAGCTTAGGCCGTAAATTGAATGGCTGTTTCTGGCGACAGACATACTTTTTTTCACTAACATGTTTTATGTATAAAACAATGTATAGAGAGAAGATAATCATCAAATGACTTCTGCCCCAGGGTGAGGCGAGAGAGAGTGTCAGACTATTACTGACCCCCCCGTTCCTGCTGTGTTAGGCCGAGGCCGCGGTACCTCATTGCGCTTACCTTGCAACCTCGGCTAAACATAAGTCCTGTTGGGCTCCATATTTTTTTTTAAATAAACTCACACTCAACACTCAAGAAAGTTCCACCTATCTACCAGTCAAAAAATTTTTGAAATCCGACCAGAGCGTTTCCAGAGATTACCCCCTACATACAAACTTACAAACTTACAAATTTTACCTCTTTATAATATTAGTATAGACTAAAGTGTCGTGTCGCAAAACAAAGTACATTAGAGACACAATCATAAATAATAAATATATGAAACCGATATCTTTCTGTCGCGACACGACGTGACCGCAACTTGTTAGTATGTTTCCGCCTTTAACTAGATTTTTTTAATAAATGTAGTATTTTTAGTCTGTTGTTAGTTTTTGATCCCATACATACATATGTACGTAGGTTTAAATTTATGTGGTGTTATGTTCAAATCAATAATTTATATTTTTATACATATTTTTATTTTATATAAAGTTATGATTACAGGAAGATAGTGATTTTTTATTATGCGGAATTTATAAAATTGTTTTTTGAAGAAAATCTAAAATAGTTATTTGTTTTTTTCTTATTGAGATTCTGAGAGCTATTTTGCTTAGTAAGGTTAAATTATTAAATATATTTTTATCATTTCAATGATTATATTTGTATGCAAAATCTATGCGTGCTGTATATAAAGAATATGATTCGCACAATATTTTTACACTGTCCTAATAATACATAGAAGAAAAAGAAACTTAAAATAATAGCTATCTTCACAAGTTTATGGTTTGCTAATTCAAGATTATTAATAATAGCACAAACTCTGAATTACTTCCCTGTATACAAGCACTCTTTTTGAAATAGGAATAAAAATATACACTGCAATTTTTCCCCTGCATAAACTTTTTACCAATCGTATTGTGATTCTATGCATGTTAAATGAACCAATGCACTTTCGCATCTCCCACATAAAATAGCTTGATACTAAAAGACTTACTTTACTACATCTGATTAAACTTTTATTATTATCTTGCTTTTAATATAGGTACTAATATAGGTTTTATAGCCTATAGCACTAAGGAACATTGTAGTTATCTATCAGTGAAAGAATTTTGGCAATCCGACCAGCGGATCCAAAGATTACCCCCTACATACAAACTTACAAATTTTACCTCTTTGTAATATTAGTATAGATTATTAAACTGACGTTTAATATAGTGATAAGTCGTGGTGGCCCGAAGGTTAAGGAACCCACTTCTCATGCCTGTGGGTGTGGGTTCGAAACCTGGCAAGTACAATGTGACTTTTTCCGAGTTATATGTACTTTCTATGATTATTTAGACACCGCTGACATACGGTGAAGGTAAACATCGTGAGGAAACCTAGACTTATAATTTCTAATCATAAGCTTGAAATCGCCAACCCGCATTGAGCAAGCGTGGTGATTAATGCTCAAGCCTTCTCCGTTTGAGAAGAGGCCTTTGCTCAGCAGTGGGCACTTGTAGGCTGATGATGATGATGATGAAGGTGATAGTTCTGCTCGTTTCCCGAAAACAAAACATACAAACAACGCCCAACCGAGTTTTTTATTTACAAAAAGCGCCAATTTTATACCTGGTGGTAATGGGGATTATCCACATCACATGTCATCATCAGCCAATAAGTGCCCACTGCTGAGCAAAGGCTTCGAAGAAGGTTTGAGCATTGATCACCATGCTTGCTCAAGGCGGGTTGGTGATTTCAAACTTATACTTATAAATTATAAGTCCTTACTGTGTTTTTTTTGTGAGGGGAAAACCATCAAATTGCTTCTCCCACCCAGGGTTGGGCGGGAGGGAGTGTCAGACTCTTACTGACTAAAAACGCCCCCGTTCCTTCTCCTGCTCTGGGTCGAGGTCGCGGCGCCTCTTTGCGCTTACCCCGCAACCCCGACTGAAGTCCTCTTACTGTGTGTGGTATGAGCCTTACTCACAAGAGGCGTGAAACAATGCTTGCGTCCTTTAACACTTGATCAAAGTGATCTCTGTAGTCTTAGTAGTTTGAAATACCCAAGCAAAAATCAGGCGCAGTGGTAAATGGATTCTAATCTTGACTTCACTTTAATAAATAGATAGTTTCTATTTACATTTCGAAAAGACATTAATTCTATCCGTCAATTAAATTAACCGTTAAGAGCTGCTTAATCAGATGTAGTGAAACAGATCTTAAATATTTTAATATATGACTGAAAAATTATATCTATGTATAAAGTATATGTTAGTGCCTTCAATGTATTTATGTAAAAACTGACTTCAAGCTTTCGATGTTTAAAGAAAATAGAATAATATGTATGTGATAGTAAATGTCATAAAATGCATTATTAACTTATGTCAATAAAAAATAATTGTATCATTCTTAATTTACCTCCTGTCGCATCGTCAAAATATAATTTGTAAAATATGATTGTTAAATTATATAATATTTATGTATTATATATAAAATACGATATTACTAGCATTTGCCCGCGACTTCGTTCGCGTGGAATAGTGACTTCCTGCAGATTTTTGTTATAAAAAAACTATCCTATGTCCTTTGTCGAGTACAACTATGTCTGTACCAAATTTCACAGAAATCGGTTCAGTAGTTTAGGCGTGAAGAAAAGACAGACAGAGTTACTTTCGCATTTATAATATTAGTTTGGATGTTAGTACCATTCATTCCTTCGTTCACTCTTTGATGACGTCATATGGAATGAATGATAAAAAGAAAGAATGAATATTTTTTGCGCAGGAGTTTAAAAAAAAGCAGTATGTCTAATAGTCGTGGAAACTACTACTGAGCATAAGTTATGAGAGGATACGGGTTAATTTCTTAGTAAAAATAACTTTCCCATTTATATGAATTACTAGAAATAAGTAAATAAATGGAGAAAAGTTTATACTGTATCATTATTCTGAGTTATAAATCTCTGCCTTTACATATAAATAAGCATAGCTTGATGATATGTATACAGACTAATTTCCTATTCAAATTTCTTTGATACAATGATTTTAAAATGCAATAAAAAAACTATTACTTTTTTCTTAAAAAAAAAAAGGTTTTATATGAGATATTGATTTGACAAAAATGTTTATAATTAGCACGAAATCTAGCACTTGTTGTTTATCTCAAAAATGGATAAATAATGTTCTCGTCTGTTAGTCCCTTTCTAAATTAAATCCGTGATACTACTTAAAGAAAATTATTTTCTCATTATGAATGAGTTTATTTTTATAATTAGATATTCTATGTACAGTCCAATTAGTATTCGGCATGCAGGTACACAAATTAAGTAGAATATTTATTTATTTCAATAGTAACGTATGGTGTATGGACTATAGGCACAAAAGTAAAAGAAAAAAAAAACACAAAATGTATATATTATATACAATGATATTATAAGTAAAATTGTGTAGAGAGGTTACCTAAATTAAAATTCGATTTTCAAAAACGACACACTGATACACACATGAACAATTCGTAGGTTTAGACGTCAAAGTGAGATGGCATGATGAAATAAACTGCATAAAATGTGGCTAGTTAGCCACATTTTAATGTATCACTTGCTGAGCGCTTGTTACCTATCTACACCTTTTTACTTATAATATCATTGTATATATACTTCACATCATTAACCTATAGCTAAGTGCCCACTGCTGAGCAAAATTCTGCAGTGCAAAATGTAAAAAAAGTGTCCATTTGCTTGGGTCTCATGAGGCTATGCTGAATCAATCTTTGTTTTCTTACCTGTACACCAAATGACTAGGCTGTTTTAATTTCAAATAAAATTATAATGCTAACATAATTATCGAATGCATGATATTTATGGAAATATATGTGATATAATATTTTTTACGTTGGAATTAGATAAATAAAAATAAATATTGATGTTGTCTATATTTGAAGTTTTATTTTACATTATTTTAACTGCCTTGTGGGCAGTTGTGAGTTAAAAAACTGGGTTAAGTTCGGTCACCAAGCACTATGAGAATTTGATATCTACAAATAATAATTATGTGGATCCGATTTGTGAGCAGTACACTTGTTTCCGACGACAAAACAATTTAATTAACTAACATAGTGTTATACTATACTGCACCCCAGATTAGGACGGAGTGCTCGTATGCGCTCTATAACGCTGCTGTCAAACATCGGCTCCAAGTTGAATCAACAAGTTTAAATGAACAGAATTTGCCCCATGGCATGTCACATGTGAGAGATTGAGAAAGCTAGTGAATCAACTGGTTTATTTAGTAATTGTTTTGGGAGCCTTTGTTCAGTAGTCAAGTCATAGACGTCTTGAGGATGATGATTCTGAAATCATTTATGTCCGCTGACGGTCAAGGTCATTTGCGCTGTACATTATGCTATACTACCACTGCCCTCCACCTGTTTTAAACCTTACACATCCCGCCTATAACGCTACAACACTGTCTGG